GTCTCCTATAGACTCTTGAAGTTGGGTAGCCAATGCAACGAAGAACTGCGATGGGATAAGACGGGGCTGATGAGTGAGATTAAAAATTCCCCCTTCCTCGGCATGGTCTCGGACTCCCTGGTTCCTCAACACCACATAAAAAGGCCATGCAGCGTCCTCATTCCAGAGAGAGGCGTATGGAGCAGGGGACAAAACCCTCTCCCAGGCGGACTATGCGTTGTACACGGACGGATCCAATTTGAAAAGGAGTAGGAGCGGGAGTTTTCAGCCAGAGGCCAAGAGTTGACATATCAATAATCCTAGGATCTCTGGCCAGGATCTTCCAAGCAGAAATAATACAATTGGGAGCGAGAGAGTTAATTAATTTTCTACCTGCAAACAAGATTATATTCGGATAGCCAGGCAGTCCCCAAGGCCCTGTGTTAGAGTTGATACTGACCCATATAATTATTGTTAGACTTAGTTGGGAGAATTGTCAGTAATTTTGTCATTAATAAAAATATATTTGTCAAAGAGAAAAATATTCACGATTATTCCATTTTTTACTTGCACATTTCTGATATTTGGCGACCGTGACAGCGTTAAAAAAAATGGAAAATCTTAAGGTTGAAAGAAATCAGTTACGAAAATATTTTAAGAAGACTTGCCAAGATGTCGACATAGCACTAGCCCATTCAAATCCAGTTAGGGGACAAGTGGTGATCTACATGAGGCAATTGGAGAGCAAGTCAGAAATAATATTTGCTTTGGACGAACATATTAGAGAGGGATTATTTAGTTCAAACGTAACTCCACAAGAAATCGAAGAGGAAATGGATCAAGTAGAACATTACAAAGAAGAGATGATAAACTATACTGCCAGATGCGAGTTTATCCTTAAAGAAGAATCGGAAGGCAGCTGCAAGAATGAATGTTAGAGTTGAAGAAATTTAACGGGGATGTAAGAAAATGGATAGGTTTTTGGGCACAATATAAGAAGATACATGAAGACGATTATATAGATGATGAAGATAAGTTTCAATATTTGATTCAAGCCATGGAACCAGGATCTATTGCAAGAAAAATTGTAGAAAGTTTTCCACCATCAAAGGCTAATTATGAAAAGGCACTAAACAAGTTAAAAAATCGTTGCGCTAGGGATGAGTTTTTGATCGAGGTCTATGTAAGAGAATTATTAAGTCTCGTACTTCAACAAGTTACTAAAGGTAGGTGTGCTATGAGTTTAGCTAATTTATATGAGCTTGAAACACAGTTAACTTCACTAGAATCATTAGGAGTCACTAGCGACAAATATGCAGCCATGCTTTACCCTTTAGTAGAGTCGTCTCTACCAGCAGATATCCTAAAAACTTGGGAGCGACAGCGAAGTACTTATCTTGGTGATATTACGGAAAATAATTCTAATAATTCTAATTTTTGGACATTATTATTAGATTTTTTACGTCGAGAAGTAGAGGCCGAGCAAAGAATTACGTTGGCTCAGAAGAGTTTTACCTCCGTTGATGATGCAGCAGATGACACTAAAGTACCAGACGACATTCAAGTAACAACCGTAAGTCACAGCAACAGAGGTACATCCAAACAAGAAGAACAACAGTTGTTTACGGCAGCTACACTTTACTCACAATCTTCAAAGGGAAATATCGCTGGTAAGAATGTTCCAAAATGTATTTTTTGTGATCAAACTCACTTAAGTCAAGACTGTTTCAAGGCCCAGAAAATGTCTATGGATGATAGGAAAAACAAAGTAATAAAGAAAAGAGGATGTTTTTCATGTCTGAAACAAAATCATACTTCACGAAATTGTAAGAATTTTGTCAGATGTATAATATGCACTAAAAAACATTACCTTATATTATGTCCCGAATTAGCTAAGCAAAAAGAGGGAAAATCTATAACAGGAAATAGTGAGCATCAAGTAGACAATTCTTTAATGATCAATTACATGTCCGAAACTTTACTTCAAACAATTTTGGTTAAAATAATAAATAAAGAAAACAACAAAGTTAAAATTATTCCAACTCTATTAGATTCCGGTTCGCAAAGATCGTACATATTAGCTAAATATGCGAATGAATTAAATTTTGTTAGAAAGAGTACAGAGAATATTATACAAGGAGTTTTTGGAGGTCAAATAAATCATGTACTACATTACAATTATGATATCATAGCTCAAAACTTAAACGAGCAATATGAAATAAATATGCAAGTTTTAGATTAGGAAAACATTTGTAATTATATTCCTAGACTTTACAATTTAGATATTATCAGTGAACTACAACAGAAGAATATAATTTTAAGTGATACTTCCTTTTCGAGTGCACCACTAAAGATAGGTTTATTAATAGGTGCAGATTTTTTTGGAATGTTATTCACAGGAAACTTGCAGACTTTGTCAAATGGGTTAATAGCTCTTGAAACTAGATTAGGATGGACAATAATTGGAAAATGTCCTAATGTTAAGCCAAATGTTTTGTTGTTTTCAGGATTATCAAATTGCTCTATATCAAGCTTATGGAATTTAGATGTTCTAGGAATACGTGATCCATTGGAAGTAAAATCTAAGGAAAAAACAGAAGAAGAAACACTTAAGTTCTTTCATGAAAATATCATGGTTAATGAAGATGGACGATATGAAGTTAGATTACCATGGAATGAAGAATATCAATCTTTGTCACAGTAATAAAACTCTATCAGAGCAAAGATTAATGTCTACCAGCAAAAGGTTAACAACTATTGGAAAGTTAAATGACTATGAAAATGTCCTATTGGAGTGGCAGATGCTGGGTATCATAGAAGAAATAGAGGAAGAAAATCCTTATAGTGGCCCAGTACACTATTTGCCACATCATAAAGGAAGCAAGTAAAACAACCAAAATTAGGCCAGTATTTGATGCATCAGCCAGGGATGGACTAGGTAATTCGTTAAATAGTTGTTTACAAACAGGGCCGAATTTGATTGAATTAATTCCATCTTTATTAATAAAATTCAGATTAGGGATTATAGGAGTCACTGCAGATATTGAAAAAGCGTTTTTACAGATAAGTATTTCTCCTAAAGACAGAATTGTTTTAAGATTTTATTGGTGGAGCAATTATCAGGAAAAGATAAAGAAAATTTTTAGGCACTGCAGAGTAGTTTTCGGAATTAAATGTAGTCCATTTTTATTAGCAGTTACCATAAACTATCATATATCACATTCTCCACTACATTTGAAGGATAGAGAAGAAAAATTAGCTAATTCCTTTTATGTTGATAATCTTATTACTAGTGTAAACAATATAGAAGAATTAGAAAAATTAATTAAATAATCTAAAGAGCTAATGACATTAGCTCAGTTTAATCTTAGGGAATGGTATTATATAACAGATGTTTCTTCTGTGGAATTTAGCAGCGTTTTAGGCATGTTATGGGATATTCCAAATGATTTACTATGTGGTGGGGAGGATTCTGGGAACATATTGCAAGAATTATCAAAGAATTACTCCGGCGAAATTTGGGAAAAGCATGCGTTAATTATGAAGAACTGTTAACTGTTCTTTGCGATTGCGAAGCGATAATAAATACCCGGCCGCTGACGTATGTTTCTGAAAATGATCAAGATTTAATTCCATTGACACCCTCGATGTTTCTTTATGACTTGACAACCTGTGAAATACCAACAGAGAAAACTATCTAGACCACTAAAAATTGGAGATGTAGTTTATGTGGAACAAGAAAATGTACAAAGAATAAATTGGCCATTGGGTAGGATTCTAGAATTAATAGAAGGAAAAGATGGAAATTGCAGAGCAGCAAAGGTAAAATTACAACATGGGGAAATAGTAAGGCCTTTTCAAAAATTGTACCCATTGGAAGTAGACGCAGATTGCGAAAGTAAGGTTCATATTATGAAGGAAAGGAAAGAGCGCTTAGAAAAGAAGGCGGTTAAGCAATATTCAGAGCAGACACAGAAGCTAGTTGGTAAAGAAAAGGATGATAAAGACGAAGTGAATGGACAGGCACGTCTAAAAGAAACAGAAGAAGAAGGTTTGAAGACAAGAAGTGGACGTCTAGTCAAACCTGTACAAATATTTGGGTTTAAGCTCAGGGGGGAGGATTGTTAGACTTAGTTGGAAGAATTGTCAGTAATTTTGTCATTAATAAAAATATATTTGTCAAAGAGAAAAGTATTCACGATTATTCCATTTTTTACTTGCACATTTCTAATACCCTGAGCTCCAATCGAGTTGACTAAAAGCTGGTTTGGAACTGTATAAATACCCTCGAATTTCTTGGTGCCCAGAACAAAGTTACTTTGATCTGGGTTCCGGGACACAGCGGTGTGAAGGACAATGAAAAATCCGTCGCACTCGCTAATGTTAAAGTGGATTAATACCCTCGGTGATGTACAGTTAAACCAAAAAGATTGTGAGAAAATATTATTTATCTAAAGACATACAAAAACTATTTGTCAGTGAAACATCACTCTATATAAATCAAAGTACGCTAAATATACTGAACCATTGAAATTACTGTAATGTAGATATATAGTTAGAATATTTTAATAGCTAAAAAAGGAACCGAATCTGAGTTCATAAGACCAGAACCATTCCTGGGCATTGCAAAGAGCACTGCTAAAGGAATTATCTCAAAATGGACGGAAGGTGCAACACTCACGAACTGGAGAGATACCCCAGGGCTAACTCATTCGAAGGCGTTAATAACCAACCCTTCTATGAACGCCTCTGCTCTGATTTTTACGGGACTGATGACAGGACCCTACCGTCTGGCAACCACATCATAAGGATAGGTCAACAAACATCGGACTGTCGATTCTGCAGCGTGGAAGACGAATCTGCAGAGCACATTTTATGTACCTGCTCAGCTTTGCAAAGAACCAGGTTCTAGATCTTTAAACAAGTCTCACCCAATTCGACCATCATCTGATAATCATGTCCGTACGCGCGAATATTTTATAGAAAGGTTACTAGTTGCTACATCTATAATAAAATAAATCGTCAATTACTAATTTATTTTTAAAAAAGAAACAATGTAACTTTTATTAAATAAACTGTATAAATAACTGGTATAATTAGTTTTAAGACAATTCGCTTGGATATATAAATTATTTACTATTTCACAATTTCTTTTAATTTCGATTCTAAATACTTGACTCTATGTACTAATTTGTCTCTCGGTTTAAATTCCGTAAAAGGTACTGCCAATATTTTGTATCCTTGAGCTTCCAGCACTCGTATCGCAAAATTATTTATACCTGTTGGTTCGACCTTGCCCTTACACATGTCGTGGTAATCAAATGCTAAAATAGCAACCCTGAAACGATAAAAATTATCAATTTGTAATTATCATTTCAAAGTGAACAAACCTCGTTTCATTTTTATTTGATTCCACCTGATCTAGAGGCAACGGGCTGCATTTTTTATCTAAAACGCATTCTGCATCTGAAATTAATCATTTTTATTTTTAAGAGTTTAAAAAATAAACTGCGCAAGCTGTGATAACTTACCAACATAAAATCCAAACCCTGTATTTATTCTTGTTTTGATAAGTTTGTCTGATTGTATTAAATTCTTCAATGTATCTAGAATTGAGGTAGCCATTTCTTGTTTTTCTTTCGATTGGGATAACAATACGTTTTTTAAAGGTGACTCAGATGGTATCCTTGGCCCTTTATAATTTTCTATTAAATATTGAGCAGCACCTTCGATATTTAATAGTTTTAGTTGTAAAGAAGTGGTCACAGGGTCTAAAAAGAAAGTAAAACATTTGTAATTAGATACATTAAATGTTACTGAAATTACTAAGTTACTTACCTTCTAATGTTCTTAAGAACGTTTCATCTAAAACGCTGGATACATGACTGCTATTGGCTTTATTAAGCAAAACCAAAGACCACACAATCTCCAGCCAAACCACAGATTTTCCGGCTTCAGATTGAGTGAGTTGAGGTAACAATATCTAAAACAAAACTCATTATAACCAGTTTAAATCGCTTGTTAGAGCATGTATACCTCAAACAACTTATCTGCATTGTTTGGGGTGTAATTAACAACAGCCAATGTCATTATCAAGCTGAAAATATCTTGAGGTCTGCAGATACTGTGGTTATGTTGTACCCATTCGCTCAATATATCCAATAGTGCTGCAAAATTATTCGAGGGCAACTTGAATATTTTAATAAACAGATTTCAACAATACCCATAACAAAAAAATTAATGGAAATGGCGCTCTTAGTGACTTTTAAGACAACTTAAGTATTAGTTCTGTCAAATAGGTCAGTAACATTGTTAGGGTTACTAATGAAGTTAATAGAGAGATATTGCAAATTTCTATAACGTCAGCCACTAATAGTGACAACGTAATTAGGGGCAAAAACATTCTTTGCTAAAATAAGACTTATAGTTAACGTGAAATTTTGACATTAGTGTCATTACAGAGTTATTGCAAATTTCTATAACGCCAGCCACTAATAGTGACAACGTAATTAGAGGAAATAAATTTCATGCTAAAATAAGACTTATTGCAAACCTGAAATTTTGACATTAAATTCCTTGTCCTTATACATATTTCTAACCTTATTTTAAAAATTTTAAGTAACAGTTCATCTTTTTTGTTGTTTATGATAGTATATAATATGGAAGAGCCATTAGAAGTTACCATTTCAGAAGGTTTATATGACGATGATATTATAAATTTAATATTAAAAAACTTCGGTCTGATACAGATGTCGGCGAGCATACCCGAAAGCTATCAAGTCGCCACTATCTGTTGCCCAGGCTGCCCTTAAACATCCACAATTAAGGACAGGCCAAAGTTAGTTAACTTCTCTATTAAGATTGGCCAATCCCATCTAGTATGTACGTTTCGCTGTGTTACGTCATTGCCGGACCAGATATTTATAAATTCTGTTGTTGTTTATACGTAGGTATTGGATTGTTTTTTAATTGACTTGACTTTTTAAAAGTGTTTTATAAAGAATATTTTAGTAAATCTGCAGTGGCAAACATGATTGTTTTTAACTATAGTGTTATTTTTTTAGGGTTTGAATGTGCCAGACAAATAGTGATCAGTAATTGTAACAGCCATGAGAAAACAAAATTAGATAACCCAGATATAATGATTTTCCATTGAGAAAAGATTGTTTCGCACAAAATAAAACAAGAGTGGATTCGAAGGTGCCATAGAGCCGATAAATGGAATCCCACAAGCCACATTTGTTCTGTCCATTTTATCGGCAATGATTATGAAAGAGATCTTCCTAACGAATTATTGGGTAATTTGGTTTGCAGTGAGGAGGCGATTAAAGAAAACTGCAGTCCTTACTTTAATTCTTGGAAATAATGAAAGTGAAGAAAAAACTTTAAAAAATAAATAATGGCAAAGTTGAATCTTGAAAAGAGAACAGAAAAATAGGGTGGAAGATTGTTTAAAAGAATATACTAAAATTTCCACACATTTAGAGGTTAATGAAAGTAGCACAATTGAAAGAGAAAACAGTGTCGTTGAGCAAACATAATAAGCTTAAAGATGATTTTAAAATTATAAAAAAAGATAAGCCCAATATGTTTACACAAGTGAAGCAATTACATTTTTATAAAAGCAAATATCAGAGACTAGAAACAAAACAACGAACTAAATGCCAAGAAAAATGCTTTTACTAAAAAACAAATTAAAAAAAAGAAACATGTTGACTGGACATTTGAAGAAGCTGCATCTGCTTTTAATTGCGATATTACAGCAAAAAGGCATACCTGTATATAAAATACTTCCTGATTTGTCTTCTCTAAGACGATGGGCTAATAAATTTAATTTTAGAAATGGAATCATAGTGTATTAAAATGTATGCAGATGGACGGAGAATCAATAATGGGCAATCAGTATTATGTGTACTATTTTGTACTAATTGTGAAGGGTTGTCAACAATCCAGTCATGCTGGCCCGGAGACAAAATTGTTTGTCGAGGAATACGCGCAACGACATTTTTTGCTTTTCGGCCATCAACCTTATTTTAATTTGTGTATTTTTTATGTACTACGTGTACTATTTATGTCACAATGTGTAGGTACTAGGGTACAACATTTTCCCAGTGGTTTACCCCGACACTACACTAAAATAGTAATGTTTCAATGATCGGTGCAGTAAAAATGGAGTTATTAATACTCTGATGATATTATGAAGATAGTACATATAAAATGTCAATAAATTTTGTTTGTATATTTATTTTGACTTGTCCTGTACATAAAAAATCAATAAAAAATTATTATTTTCAATTTGTGGTACTTCTATTTTTCGTATATATGTAGGTATTTCATTGGGAATTTAATAAAGATATGACTGATTATTTTTAAATGTGTGTTATTAGAAATGTTCTGAAAAATATTGTGCCATCACCGCCCACAATTGCTTGCATTGTAACGTGGTCGTTAAAAGTAAATATACCTATGTAACAAAAGATTTTTTCTTATCGTATTCCATTTATTTCGAAATAGGTACCTTAAATGATTTATATTAAAAAAAAGGCATTTATTACAAGACATTCCCTATTGCTATTCTTATTTTACACGAAATATAAGCCAGAGTAGTTTATAATTGTGTACATTTTTAAATTCGCGCATTCGATGGTCCGGCAACTACGTCATTTTCTCGAATACTTCCGATGATACACGATGCGTTGAACAATCCTATAGAGAGTCAAGTATCCTTGGGACAGACACAATCCATAATAAAGTCAGTTCTAGAATATAAAAGATCTGCGCATACTGAGATGTCAAAATAAGTGCGGCATTAATAGTGACTGATCTTAAGTGAACTTGCAATATCTCTCTATTAATGATTACTTTTAGTCACGTGCGGTACGGGTATTGTTGATGACTTTGTAGTAAAAATAATGCGGACAAGTTCAAATATGTGGCATGACAAAAATGCCGGTCCTATGGTCAGTTTAGTTATTTTTAAATTCAGGTTGGCTATGAAAATTTGACACATTTAAATGTGTATAATATTAAAGAGGCATTCAAAATAAAATGGCTGCCAGCGGGTAATATCAAGTTATGATATGACAACCCTGTAGGCCTGGTGATTTTACAGGGTCAATGATACAATACCACTGATGCTTTTTTCTGTTCTAGATAAATTATACCTCGATTTAAATGATAACAAGGTAGCTGCTGCAGTGTTTTGTAAATGATCCAAAACTTTTGACTATGTAAATCACAAAATATTGCTGAGAAAACTAGAAAAATAGGAATTCCGAGGAATAGCTCTGCAGTGGTTCCAGTCTCATTTGGAGACTAGAGTATAAAGAGTTTATATCAATAAGCAAACATCAACGCTTGCTACGATTCACTGTGGGGTTCCACAAGGACTCGATCTGGGACCGGTTTTATTTTAAATTTATGTTAATGACATTATTAATGTCAATATTAATGGATACTTCGCCATATTTGCAGATGATGCAATGATACTCTGGGAAAGTGAGAATATTGAAGAGTTGATTAATACGCTTACCAACGACATTATTAAGATTAAATAATAGTGTAATTCAAATTTTTTATCTCTTAATAATCAAAAACAAATATTTTGCCTCATTCAAATAAATCCTTAGGCTTATTCATTGACCAGAAATTAAAATTTGAAATCCATGTTAATAGTTTGTGTAAGAAGCCGTCCTCTGGATGTTTTGCAGTAAGAACTGTTGCATAGGTACAACTTAGATATTTTGGATGCAAAGAGGGTATACTTTTCATTAGTAGAATCCCATCTGAAATATACTATAAGTTTCTGGGCAGGGGCGGTTTCTCCATTGGTTCATTTATGCAGTGAACACCCAGTTAAATTTCATAAAAACACATTATTTTAATATTACATAAATAACATAAAAATATAAATTTAATTGTAATATTTTTATTTTCATGTGTTCATCTATATTTTTCCTCTGGATGATCGCGTCTCTGTGGCACAGTATACCTAAGTATACTGTGTCTGTGGCGCATTATGATGAGTAAGCCTAACGCGAGTGAGACGAAATGCCGAATGCATATAGCTAAAAAGAGAAGACAACACGCCAACAGATCCTTCAAACTGTCAAAGAACACATTAATTGGCGCGCCGCTCACAAACAAGGTTGCCAAACCAGTGTTGCCAGTCTAGTACAATTCACAATTGTACTATATGTAGTACTTTCTGCGTGTATCAGTGTTCACATGTAAAATATATATATATATATATATATATATATATATATATATATATATATATATATATATATATATATATATATATATATATATATATATATTATGTTCCTATGTTATCAATAAAGACCCCCTTTTTCCCCCTTCAATGAATTAGATGTCACTGCAAATAGAATTCGAAAAATCTGATACATTTAAGGAATCTGGTACATTTTTTAGACAAATCTGGTACATAACAAAGACATTCTGGCAACACTGTATTAAATACTTTAAATAAAAACATAAAATTATTTTAATTGTGCTTATTTAAAAAAAATGTGTTTAATTAAGAACTGTGTCTTCAAGTAAGTGTGTCAATTCAACGATTGTTCCCGAAAAAACTTCTTTATGGCAAGGTAAATTAAAATTTTTAAGGTTATGTTATTTTATTTACCTATAATAAAGTTTTACGACTGTAATTTGTTTTATATTTTGTTTCAGTGTCTAAGAATATCCAAAGACTACTTCAAAATGGTCTATTTTGTACTCAATTTTGTAAATACTATGAAGTAAGAAGTAAACAAAAAATTTGTAATTTTTTTCCCACAAAATCCGCTAAAAGGAAAAATTTTAATTAATCTGATGAGGTAACTACTTGACATCATTATGGAAATTGAATTATGGAATTGATAAAGATAAAGAGACAAATGGTTTTTCACTTTAAAATTCTGAATCGAAAAAGGATCAACCAGTTAATTTAATATACTCGATGAGAAATTTTACCTAAGAAATGGTATGTACATTTAAATAGTTTACCTATATAAAGTTATGTTTGCCTGTAATTATCAATCGTGTTACCCTTTAACATAGATCGTTTGTTGCATAAAAACCAGAAATCTTTTATTTGAATGACATTTTTTATTGCCTTGTTTGTATAATTTAGTATTTTCAAAAATATTAGATGTTATGGTAATTTGGATCACTGCATGTATTAAATAAAAATAAGGCTGTTGGTAAATTGGTTTACAGTTGGTAATAAAGTATGTCTCGAAAAAAGCAATAAGTATCAAACATAAATTGTGATTTTGATTAGGCACTTAACAAGTCACATCCCACATATCTACATGCTCTGGCTACTCAATCCTATAAGTACATATCAAAACATTAATATACTATCTAAAATTCAATAATTTGAAAATACAGATGAAGCCGATTTACCTATTTAGACAAAATACTATTATTCTGTTATTTATTAAAACACATTATTTTATAGTGAACATGGACATGCAAAAGTTTACCATAAGGGTAGGACAGAGCGAGAGCAAGAATACTTTGGAATGTGCTGTGAAATACACTTAGAAAGGGTCATATGGAGAATTAAGTGTGATAACATTTTACGATGTGTATCTCACTAGTTTAGTTCACAGATTTCTGTAAATGTTCAATATGTGCTGCTATTTCAAACTTTTAGTATCCTTTGATAAACGAAGTTGAATATTATTGTTGACCTTTTTAAATTGTTTATTTTACCTTATACATTTTTTTCTACTCTTCATAAAGAGAATTATAGGTTTACTTTATCTATCCGATGTCACGTTTTTTGTGCAAAAATCAAGCTCTATAAGGGGACAAAGCCTACTGATTTTTAACAAATCTGATTAAAAATAGGGGGTTAAGATGGGTTGAAATTAAAAAAAAAATCCTAAATTAAAAACGAAAAGCGATATCAACATGAAATTTTTGGTAAAAATGAAGCTTTATAAGAAGATAAAGCCTATTGATACTGAAAAAAATATGAATATATTGGGGGGTTAAAATATAAAAAAAAATCCTAACTGAAAAACGAAAAATGATATAAACTTGAAATTTTTAGCAAACATCAATCTCTAAAAGGAGTAGAAGCCCTTTATTTATTAAAAAAAATCTGATTAAATATGGGGGATTTAAGGGGGGTTGAAATTAAAAAAAAAATCAAAAATGAAAAGCGATATCAATATGAAATTTTTAGTAAAAATCAAGCGCTATAAGGAGATGAGGCCTATTGATTGTGAAAACAATCTGCTTGAAAATGGGGGTAAGGGGGTCTGTTAAACTGCAAAGAGTATCATTTAAAATGCCAGGCAGTATATATCTTTATTCTAGTTTGTGTCTGTGTAATATTATGTATTGTGATGGGACTGATCTTATAAAATCAACATTTTAGTTCTTATTTTGTTTGCCAATAAAAGGTATTTAAAAAATATCTTTTTTATTTGACATCTGTGACAAATTGTGAAAATGATTAAACTTACAATAAAAACTAAAAAATGGTAGGAAAAGTTTCATATAAAATTTTTTACACAAAAATCAATGTCAAGCTTTCTACATAACCTGATATATATTTAAAAATAATCTCAAATTATGAAGAAGTCAGTTTACTAACTAATAATGTTTATAGATGGTTTTCAACGTATTAAAAACAAAACAAATATTACACTAACTAAAATATTCATTTATAAATAGTTGTAGTGCTTGAAAACAGTATGATGTTGATAATAATAACTACACTTAATACAAACTCAAATAATAAAAAAAAAACAGCGATATTGACTCTTGTACAAAGTTTTTATCCGAACTTACAAATGATAAAATTATTGGAAAAAGTGAACACCCATTTTAAATTATCACAAGCCGCCACTGTTTCTGGGGAACATTTTCTTCCGAGTTGTTCACTAGTCTTTGTCTTACAGAAGAGGACCATAAGACATGTGCAAAGTTGATGCTGATCTCTTGTATGCCATTAGTTATTAGGCCCAATATAACACCACTCACTTGTATGTTTATTTTAGAAACGGTACTTTGTTTTTAAAAAATATAAATATACAATTATTTCCTCCAGCAATACTCGAAGAATTTTTTACCTTCCCTTGCCTATACCCTCTTCTGATTTGGCACATGGCTCTATTGTGTATAACGGAAAGATGTTTAAACACCTGCCAATTAGTATAAGAAGTACAGACTCGTTTAAAATATTTTAAAAGCAAGTCAAGAAAGAAAAAAAGTTTACTACAAATTGGAAGAATTTTTCTGTGATTGGTTGAATTGAGTAGTTCATTTTAATTTATGTGTATTATATATATTTTTCTATTGTTATACTTGTACTTGGTGTTGTGCATATGCATTTTTGTTCTTCGTATTTTATATCTCGATATTAGAATTTTTAAAACAAACAAAAAATTTCATTTCTATTTCGAAAATTCTGTTTGTTTTTCTTAGAATTTAAATTTTTTAATGTTTAACTTTCTTACATTATTGTTATCTATCTTTGTTAATAAGAATGTAATTAATTCTTCAACAATAAAGACATTTTGAGCTTATATTGACTTATTTTCGACCCCAGAAACTGTAGTTAAATTCACTGGACATTTTTTTGTTACATTCACATTGTTACATTTTTTTGTATAAACTAGACTGTCCCGGTATAAATCAAAAACCAACTATTGATTATTTTTAAACGAATTATTGATTTTAATTATTATTATACATTCCATTATAATGTAATATTGGTGTAACACTAGATATTTCAAGTTTTATTTCTATAATTGGGTTGAAATAAAGTATTTAATGTAAATAAGTTTTCTTTATGTAATTTTTTGTTACTTCACCAATTACTTTTGGCATTTTGAATTCAATACTGAATTCATATTGAATCATAATAAATACACAAAAGAATCTAAACATATTTTGGATTAATTTTATACGATTATATTTGTCTGCAGCAGCCTTGTCTAGTGGCCCAAACAGATACCCCTCTTTTAATTGATTAAAATTTAAAAGAGATTCACCAATGAAAACGTTTAAAATATCTAAGGAAAAACGGAAAGATACTTGGCAATGTTACATTTTTTGGTTGGCTAATACAGCCTTGTCTTCTAGCTCAAACAAGATACCCATCTTTCGATTGGTTCAAATTTGAAGTATATGAGATTCAACAATGAAAAGGTTTCAAATATCTAAGGAAAAACAGAAAGAGATGTGGCAACGTTAAATTTTTTTTGAGCTATTTGTTAACAAGAACATTCAATGTTAGGATAAAGAATCAGTCAGCTCACTCGGACCAATTGGATGTTCCAAAATAATATCCATTCCAGGGATACAAATTCAGAATGCGAAGAAGACTGCTGTTTGAATATAGGCGGTTGTCATATTGTAGTAAGAGAGCCCACTGCAAATTTCGATAGTCATCTGATAACGAAATGAAATATGCTACAAAGGCATGTAACAACATTGTACTTTACCAAATTGCTCCTGTGCCAATCCATATCCTGAGCAAAGTGATTAAAAAATAATTTTTATATTCAAAAATTTCACATAAGACATGAAAGCGACAATTATTGTGTTTTCCCTGAAAATTGGAATCCTAATTCATTATGAACCTAGCTTTTAAACCTGAATTATTAATATTTTTACCTACCTTTTAAATCATGTATATATGTAAAAGGTTTGTAGTTTCTATGGCAACCTGAAAAAATGAATCGCAACAATAGTCATACAAATAAATTTTTAAATCAGCAAAAATTGATTCATATTTTTCATGATTTTTACCTACTAATAGTGGATAGATGTTTTTGTGCGATGTTAAGAGGAAGAAAATGTTTCCCTTTAACGATATATATCAAGATATATTTGAATATGTTATTTTCTGGAAAATGTTAAGGGCACACAAAATTGGCGCTGTCATGTTTTATGTGATTTTTTTAATATAAATTTATTTTTTTAACAGCTTTGCTCAGGATTCGGATTGGCACAGGTGCTTTTGGGGTATATTTCATTTCGTTATCAGATGACGGTAAAAGGTTGCAGTGGGCTCTTGGGCTATTATAATTCGATTCTGTATGCGCCAGAGATACAAATCCGAATTACATATAAACTGGAACAATGAGATCAAAAGTGCCGAGGCAGAATGAGCGAACTGATTTTTTAGCTATAAACTGTGGCATTACTAAGCAATGTTTGACTTTCATAGCTACTAGGCATTTAAAAAGAAACTGAACAGCATATAGTAATGCATTCTCACGATTGCCAAACGTTATAGTTTTTCAGCAAATCTCATTAATTTCATTATTTTTGCGATATTTGAGGGTTTTTAGGGGTTTGCCTACCCTGTAATTAAATAAATTACCTGGATTTTTATACTTAAGAAGACCCAAGCTGGTTAGGATGGAACCAATCACAGAACTTTTCCTGACAATTTTTTCCACTTCTACTGTAATATCTCCTGCAATTCTTGATAAGAGATTATCATCTGGATAGTTTAGTACCACCATAGAAAATAGCAAATCACTACAGAGCTTCAAATTTAGTTGATTTGTGCTGCGAGTTATGTTGTATGATAAAGATCTTAATAACAATGTAGACCTTCTTTTTTTTTGTGATAATGTTGTCATCACCTATAAACAATATGCCAAGCCTTCAACTAATAGAAATAATGCAAAAAAAAATATGTTTAATGTAACAAAATTAGTGCAAAGATGTACTTTAGCTGAAACAACAATTTTTAAACATAACATTTTCAAATTTTATATAGTGTGTTCCGTAAAGTTGGATCCATATGGCAGTTTTTTAATATTACAATTGGAAAAAATGTCATAGGGCATTTACCTGTGCTTTTTTAAAAACTCAAAATAGCCCATACTAAAGTACAGTATTTTTTTGAAAAATCATAAGAAAATTATTTTTTTAAATGCGAATTTGACAGAAAAGTAATGTCAGTGGCCAAATTTCACATGAGCTCTTTTAAATTTTTAAATAAGCAGAGGTGATTGCCCTATGAAGTATTTTTTCCAATCAAAATATTAAAAAAATCTCATATGAATCCAACTTTATGGCACACCCTGTATATATAAAAAATTACTGTTTCATTTTTATGTTTAATATACTTACTTTAACCATTTGAGGCAAAGTTATATTATCTATCATTTTAGCAGCTTCATCATCAGCTGTTACACTTAGAACTGTTGATAAATCCTCACTCCTCGACATACCTCTTGATACTTTTAGAGAATTATTTGACTTTGTTAATATTCTGCATAATTTTATAAACCTTGGGTCATTTTCAAAATCTGAAATGTTCACTTTACCTGAACTTGACCAGTCAGCCAATACAGATACAACCTGTAAAATATAATAATATATAATCTATGAGAAACAATCCTAATACTATTGTATATAATAAAATAATTCATAAAAAAAGTCATAGATAATAGTGATCACATTGAATAATACAGTATATGGTTCTAAATTAATTAACAAGTCAGGTATACACCTTTTAAATAACACAATATTTGACAACCTTTTTATTGTGTTAGGCTGTTTATTGTATAATTTTATACAACTGTACAACACTCCATGTTCAGTAACTGTCAGACAATGTGTCGGGTATACTAGATAAGCATTCTTTGGTTAGCATTTCAAAAATGAACCACTATTAAAAAAAAAATAAGCATTTCTGAATGAATATGCCTATTTTTTTTGTGTCATCAGCATCAACTGCTACGGTTATTAGACTCGTGTTCTGTGTAGGCTTTGTTACTGTTTCCCAGCGCCACTTTAGGAACAGCATTGTTAATTAGTACCCAACAGTGAATGGTCGAGTGGGGAATCCTACCAAGGCATCAGAATTAATTTTAAATAATTAAATTAAATGAAAAAATCCTGGCCAACGGTGGGATTCGAATCTGGGACCCTTACAGTTATTTTCTTTAAATTTACCTCTATAAGTCTTTTTCATATTCAAATTTAGCATAAGCCACAATATTATCTTTTTAATAAAAAAAACCTTTCAATGTAACTAGGATCACCACAGAATAATATCACTTATCTAATTCTGGATTCAAAATTTGTAAAATACACTACCCTTCCAAATATTTCTTCACAACTGATAGTAGAACATATCTAGTTTAGTTTTGTATTTACATGCTCCACATGGTTTTCCCAGGAGAGAAAACTATCAATATATAGTCCTAGTAGAGACTTCAAATGTTTAGTTCAATATATTATGTTTTTCATTTAATTTCTGTCATAGTTGGTTTTTTTAAAGAACATTTGTTTTGGTCTCATAATTTATTTAATTCAAACTATTATTTGCTTTATTTTTCTCTCTCTCCCTGCATGTCTGGTTAATTCTATCATATCAGATGCATTTACTAAAATGTTTGTGTCATCAGCATAACTGGTTAACATACACTTGTCACTCTCTAACAACACTATTTAGTTCAATCACATAAATAATAAAGATCAGTAGGTTACTATACTCCCCTGGGGTATTCCTATATTAGAGGTTAATTCTACAGATTTACCATCCTCATTATTTTTATATATTTTGACAAATGGTTTCCTATCTTTAAGATAAAGCAGTAATATTTTAAAATATAGTAAGTTACATTATTTTTTAATAAATTGGTTCAATAATTGCAGTTTTTTCTCTTTAAAATGATCATGTAAAATTGGCAACAAAGACTTGAATAATGATGGCAATCTAGGGTTAAAGAAATATTACAAAACTGATTATTATAAAACATAATGCAATTCATGAGGTAACAATGTCTAATTTTATTGATTGTTCCCAATGTGCAATTATCCACGTTCTAGTAGAGGCACTCCATTATTATTCAAGTTAATGTCTATTACACCACAGCTAATTAATTTACCTTTAGTGCATGTCTGCGGGAAACGCCACTTCCTTCTGATACAGAAAGGAGTTCTTCAACATTTCCAGCATTTAACAGTTTTCCATCGGTCTGGGGTGTTTTAATGTCGCTATTTTCATTGGAGTTTAGGGAAGCAAAAGCTGCTGCAATCATTGATTTATGCGTCAAGGAAATTTGTTCAGGTTTTCGTATATCGTTCTTATTAATTAGTGCTTCATTTTGTTCTGATAATGAATTTTTAATTGTCTTCTTTAATTCGGGCGATGATGAAGAAAAATTATTAAATTTTATGAATGACAATAAGCCATTATTCTTACAATTTCTTTGAATAACGTTAGTAATTTTCAACATTTTGGTTTAATTAACTAAACCAATTAGCGCCTATATTTTTGAAAATTATCTTCTCTTACATTTTTCTCTATTTTTAAAAATTGTTCATGTTTAATACGTAACCACACTTTTAGATGACATATGAAGAGGAATGTGACATAATCATTATATCATACATAACTTCATAGCAAACCTTCAAGACCATTTTCTTCTCTTCTTTTTCTATTTTGTATGTCGCCTTGCTACATACTTCGATTGCCTCTTGAACTTTTTAGGCCAGGTGGGTCCGGACCCGTATTTATAAACAAAACTCAGCTGAGTCAGACTTGGGTAAGTCGTCCTTGAATGAAAATCGAAGTTCGGTTACAACGTTTCTAAAGTTCTAGGTAGTTCTGGTCTTAGATTGGAATTTAGAGATGGATATTAGCAAATTTGTAACTGTTATATGTACATTTACGGATTTGTTACTACCCATGTCTAAATTCACGCGATATAACCGACTTCGATTTTAGTTCAAGGACGACTTACCCAAGTCCGACTCAGCTGAGTTTTGTTTATAAATACGGGCCTTAGAGATGGACATTAGCAAATCAGGTCCGTATTTATAAACAAATTCCAGTTTAACACCAGAACCACCTAGAATTTCAGAGACGTTGTAACCGAACTACAATTTTAGTTCAAGGACAACTTACCCAAGTCCGGTTCTGTTTATAAATACGGACCTCTGGCTTCTTAGTTATAAAGAACAAATCAACAGCTAATGAAAAATTTGGCAACATTCAACATTCCCAAAAAAGGTAAGGAAGTGACTATTCATTCGGGAGTACCCTCAGATAAACAAATGAAATAGGAGTACCGGATAAACGAAACCATTTTCCAAAACGGTGTATCGATGTGTAAATGGTAGGTTATGTCCCAATAAAAGATCTGGTTCTGGTTTTTCAGAAATATGTTAAAAACTGTTCGAGTTCTAAATGACCAGTCATTTTAAACTTCATTTAACACAACGGTGGAATCCACAAAGCATGTATCTTCTAGAGACCCCACGCCAATGTTAAACTTTTAAACCAAATTAGCGCCACCTTGTGTTTGGAGCTGGAACTAAAATGACAATTGACAGATGGCGGTAAATTCAAATTGTAATTTTTAGGAGTAGGTAGTAGTTTTAAATTATTTCCACATAAATTATTTTATAAAATAAAGTATGGAACTAGTAAGTTCGAAACTTTTGTTTTACAAAATAATTTAGGTCGATTATACCAAATTTGAAGAATTAATTTGTTATAAGGGGTCTAATGTGGAGAGTTGGTTCTGCATATTTTTATTAAATAAATATAAGATATATCTATAAATAATAAAATAGAACATTCTTAAAATATGTTTATTAATAACTTAAATATTATTAGATAAAAATAAATACAAATAATAATACATATTTAACGAATACTTACTTGGAGCAAATAGATATATAATCTCAAATCTTTAAAATACCTATCAATAATATAAATGTGAAGTAGAGACTAGGATATTACATTTTATTAACACTAAAGTTATATATTTTATAAATGTCTTTTAACTGAGGACAAATGTAATATAGGTATTGTATTAAAAGGTGAATCCTTTTAACTATTCATTCAATGATAAATAGGTATTTTCCTTCCAAATACAGATGGTGGTATTACTCTCTTATGTGAAAAATGATTTCGGAATCTAGTCCAGTGATAAATTGATTATCAATTAGTTGTTGTCCCCGTTTGTCTTTTTATGATGCAGATGCATGGTGAATATATGGTGAATCAATGAAGTTTTTCTCGAAGTTTTCAACGTAGCACCAAAATTATTGCAAAACACAGTAGGAAATAAAAAAGCGAAACATCACAATTTTGCAAATAACTAAGACGAAACTATAAACAGAAACCAAAAGCCAAAGCCAACAAAAAATCACTAAAATCGGACGGAAAAATGAAACTAACCAAGAACATAAATAAATACACGTCACATCTTTGGAGTCTTTGGTTAAGTTTTTCTCCCATAAGGCTTAAAAATGGAGTAAGAAATCATAATTTCACCAGTAGCCCCATCTAGAGTTTGGAGCAAATAGCATAAAAAATGTCAGTTGTCGGTTTTGACCTTGGTCATTCACGTGGAACCTCTATGTGCTTTGTGGTGGAATCGGTCCTTAGTATCATAACAGTAGTACATTTGTGTATAAGTTGTTTCTTCATATTTTTTGAAATAATTTCTTAATTCCTCGTAAGTGGAAAACCTTTATCCTACCTTTAATTCCATAATATCCATCGTTAATTATATACTTAATTGAATTTTCTCTACCACACGCTGAATCGTGGTATTATTATATAAAACTTGAAACAGTTGAAACGAAATAGCTGCTAGGCTGGTGTATATAACATGCAGAGCTTATTTACCGGTACCCACAGCCGGTACCGTTAGCACAGAACACCACAGAACCAGAACACGCCGTCAGCTCATTGTATTTAGAGATAGAATTATAGTTCATTTTAGGTCAGTCACTATTAGTGCCGCTCTTATTTTGACATCTAAGCATGCTCAGATTGTTCATGTTCTAAAACTGACTTTATTAAAAATTAGGCATTCCAACGACCTGTCCAAATGGCTACCAGTGGGTACTGACAGTTTAGATATGGCAACCCTGTTGTCATATTGTCATTAACAGGGTCAATGATACATATATGTTATATACATTGCTCAAAGCTGGTCGTTTGCGAGCAGCCATATTGCCTGGCAAATATTTATTAATTTGAATCAGTTTAGCAAAAATGTGTTTTAAAACCAATTTTCAGACTTTAGATATTTAAAAAATAATAATTGCTTATATTTTTACTTCAAGGCATAAGCTTATGTTTATTTTAAAAAATAGGGATGATCAATCTATGTAACTATCTATTTCACTCACCTTGTCAAATCACCAGGCCTACAGAGTTGCCATAACTTTGCCACATTATAACCTGTCAAAACCCACTGGTAGTCATTCAGTTTGGAATGCCTAATTGTTGTGGATGTTTAAGGGCAGCAGGTCACAGAACAGCAGGTAGTGGCGACTTTATAGCTTTCGGGTGCGCTCGCCGACATTCGTATCCATTCGAAGTTTTTTAATATTAAATATTTAATATAATCGTCATCCCTTCTAAAATTATAATTTCTAATGCCTCTTCAATATTATGTGCTATTATAGACAACACAAAAAGATGAACTATAATTTAAAGTTATTAAAATGTGGTTAGAAATAAGTATACAGGGTGTTATTGAAATACACGTACATATTAAAATGGGGAATAGTATGTAATGACCAAAAACGATTGGCACCAATTTTAACTTCAAATTCTAAAATTTAAATATTGGGGAAGAGTCCCCTTTTCCGAGCTACTAGTTTCCATATTTAAAGAAGTAAAATAAATCGAAATTGAACTTACCCATAGAAATTGCACTGTTGCCGTAGCAAAACCAATTAATTCAAAATAAAGTTTATTACAGTAATTGTTCAAAATGCCGTCCATTATTATTTACACACACTTGCAATCGTCTTTCCAAAGAACTTTGAACATTAGAAATTAGTCTTGGATTTTGTCGTAGTTCCTCGGCTACCGCATTAACTTTATTGGTTAATTGTTCAACACTATTAATAGGTTCATTATAAACCAGTTGTTTCATGTGACCCACAAAAATAAATCGCATGGATTTAAGTCCGGAGATGCCTCCACTTAGTAGGTCCATTTCTGCCTATCCACTTTTGAGGAAATCTAATGTTCAAAAACTGCCGTACGTTCCCAGACAACACACCGAATCCCAAAGATATCCACAGAATATCTTTTGTGGATATCCAATATATCCACAGGATATCAGAAATATTCCGTGGATCTAATATGGATATCCAAATGTCCGTCTATATCCAGAATATAGAAGATATCCTATGGATATTCAGCAAAATATCTAATTAGTATCTTCCAGACAATACAAGAAATCCCAGAGATATCCACAGAATATATTTTGTGGATATCCAATATGGATATCCAAGTACCAAATGTCCGTCTATATCCCAGGATATAAAATTCAGATATTCAGCAAAATATTTTATAGGTATCTTTAGTAGACATTCATAAGTATAAGTAACCAAATGATTAGGACTCTTCAGCAATAAATGGAAATTCTCGACTCCAGTCTCTAATAGAGTCTTAAAGCGAAAAAATTTTCGATCAACTCAATTATGGCGGGTTGAGCATGAGTAGATACGAAAGTGGTATCGCCATCTATACTTAGGAAGCAAAATCAAAAATTACATCTAGTAGATATCCACGATGGTTTGCGTCCGCGCTAAGACTTTGATATATATGGATGTCCATGGGATATTGAATACACCTTAAAAAAATTAATTTTAAATATCTGAACGGTACTATTAGCCACAATGGCGAGCACAATGGCGTAATTTTTTAATAATTTGCTATATAATTACTATTATTTATGGACATTTGCATGTCTATAAATTACATTTTATGGATATAAAATAGATATCCACCATGGACTGGACATTCAGTGGATATTGGGATGTTCAGTAGATATCCAAAGGATTTGGTGTGCTGTCTGGGTTTAAATCAAAGTGAGGAGGAGCGCCATCTAGTAGGTACCACATCCGTTGCCTTAATTGTAACGGTATCTCTTCTAGGAGTACTGGCAAAATATCTTCTAAAAAGTGGAGATATCCTGGCCCATTTAATCTGTTCGGGAGAACATAAGGCCCGATTAAATACTGATCTATTATGCCAGCCCAAACATTTATTGAAAATTTTCTTTGATGCCCAGTTTCCCTAATGGCGTGAGGATTTTCATCACTCCAAATATGCGTATTGTGCATATTGAACACGCCATCACGAGTGAATGAAGCCTCGTCAGTATACAATAATATTTTTAGAAAATCAGGAATATCAACACATTTTTGAATCATCCATTCACAAAACTCCACTCTCTTTTCTTCATCACCTGGATATAAGGCCTGGACTTTTTGGATGTGATAAGGATGTAAACCTTGTTCTTTAAGTGTCCGCCACACAACAAATGAGGACACTCCAATTTCAAGACCTAGTCTTCTACAACTTAATTGAGGCCGGTTTTCAACAGCTTCCAATATTTCTTCTTCGGCCGCCAATGTTCTTTGTGTTCTTGTTCTCCCTCGATCTGCATTGACACTCTCAAATTTTCCATGGTCTCTTAGATGCTGAACAGTTGAAATAAACGTACGACAGTCCGGAATTCTCCGATTTGGAAACCGTTCGCGATACAGGATTTGTGCTTACCGAGAATTTTCTCCAGCTGCCCCATAAACCAGCACTATATCCGTTAGTTCAATATTCGTAAATAGTGGCATCGTAAAAAATATTTAAAAGTAATCGTAACAACACTTTTTACCAACTTGGAAATGACGCGCTCGTGTTAGCCAGATTCGTAAATCAACTAAAATTTTAATAATCTATAGTTTCAAAAATGTATAGTTTAAAAACAATCATTTATCAAATATTCTAGTTTTTTGATAACGAGGGTAGTAAAAACCAGTCTTCGGAAATAGAAATTAATTCGAAAATCTTGGCAACATGGTTATTTCTTACAAGACTAGTTTTCTTATCATCTGACAAAAACTTGCATATTTACTGTTGATGTTTAAAATAGGTAAATAAACCTAATTTATATAGGTCATCCTCAACATATCAGTGAAGTACGTTTGTTTTAGAATTAATTTTCAAAAATTAATAACTCCCTTAATAAGGGGTATTTTTAAAAAATAATATTTTTCTACATTCAGTGGGGATCTGCGCAATACCCAGTTTTAATATTTACGTGTATTTCAATAACACCCTGTATAAGGACAAGGATTCTAATATCAAAATTTCAGGTTTGCAATAAGTCTGATTTTAGCATGGAATTTGACTCTAATTACGATGTCACTATTAGTGGCTGGCATTATAGAAATTTGCAATAACTCTTTAATGGTTAGCGTCACTAGCGTCAGGCGGTCTCGGACAATTAGTGACGGAACTCTTTATCCGGGACTCCCGGATGATTAGTCACTTCCAAAAGGTAAGTTTATTATGCTGCGTTTGAGAATCCACATCGGATGCATTTTTTACATCTCGAGCGTTTTTTTATCCACATCGGACGCATCTGTCCCATTACATTTACGTATACAGAATCACGTGATCAAAGATTTTTTACATCTCAGATACATCCGATGTGGATTCTCAAACGCAGCACTTGATGGTTTATTTTTGTGACAGGTAACAGAAAGTAATTGTTCTGTGGGTAACAGGTATGTTAAGTGGGGGGGAGAAGCGTAGTGTAAAGGTTAAGGTTATATTTTTATAAATTTGTTTTCACCTTATCATATCGTATTAATTCAGTATTTACCTTGCTAGCTTTACCTTTCACTGCTCTTATTAACCATGATATTTAATTATTTAAATTGAATATATAACAATGTGGTCTAACATATTGGATGAAGTTTGTCTACTTTTAGAAACTTACAGAGGCAGAGATAAGGTAAATTCTTTTAAATTATAGTATCATACATTAATTATTTAATTTTAGATTCTAAGAACATTATGCTACTTGACTAAATATTTGGGAGGAGTACAGAGCAATGAACTTCTCGCCAAAAAGTTATTTATCTTTAGCTCTCAAATGTCTGGTGCCAGAGCTACCCTTAGACTTCTTGATGACTTTCCAATGATCAAGTACAGTCTGGAATATGGACTTGGAAAAGATGTAATGTTTTTTCTTTTTTACATTTAGTTTCGCTCTGAAAATAGATTTCTGTTAATTTTTCAACAATTTTAAAATTACCATTAATAAGATGGTTAGGGGGTGGGTGGCTCAGTGGTAGAGTCTCTGCCTGCGGATCCAAGGGTCCCGGGTTCAAATCCCACCGTTGGCCGGTATTTTTTTATTTAATTTTATTATTTAAAATTAATTCTGATGCCTTGGTAGGATTTCCCCCACTCAACCATTCACTGTTGGGTTCTAATTAACAGAGCTGTTCCTGAAGTGGCGCTAGGAAACAGTAACAAAGCCTACACAGAAGATGAGGCTAATAACCTTAGTAGTTGATGCTGAGGTTGATGCCGATGACAAAAAAAAAATAAGATGGTTAATAAAGATTGAGCCAGGTTCTGTCCCCAAAATTAGAATTCTCCTTGTAGCAATACACCATCATATAATATTATCTAACATTTATATTTTAATTATTATATGGTTATCTAGATAAATAAATATTTACTAATTGTAATTTGCCTGTGGTTTGTAATAAAATAATTAGGTATATATCCTTGATATAATCCCTTAGTTAAATTGCCTTGACTTATTTCCAGAAACAAGCTATGTTCTTATCTAATAGCCTAAAAACTGAATTTCAAAATGTCAAAAATTTATGTAGTCATCGTTTAAATAAAAATTAAAAAATTTGACGAACTTTATTTGCTATAGGTTAAAATATGTACTTTTTAAAATTCTGGGAATGATGAACTGTTTAAATATTTTATTGTTTATTAGTAAGATGCAGCAAATATTTCAATAGTAACTGATTTTGATTGTTTGATTATGAATGTTTTGAATTTGAAAATAAAGAGGTTGATATTTTCTTTTAGGAACCTGACAAGTTTATGGCACAGCTGGGTGTGCTTACAAATGTCATTGACCAAGCATTTTACCCAATTGAAAAAATGTCTTGGCTTGCAGAGCATAAACTTATAACTGGAATTGATAATAACAAATGGGATACAGCCAGTTCCGTTTGCTGGGTGGTATCAATTTATTTAACTCTTGTTAAGTAAGTTGTATGTTGTATTTTGATTTTATTTTTTAGAATTTACAACTATTGACTAATTGTTTTAGGTAACTATTAAATGTTGATTTTTTTAGAGATTTAAAATTGAACGGATTTACCTAATTCAGTCTTTTTAATAAATACTAGTTGGCCTTAATATTTTCTCTAAAAAATTATGAATCAATTCTGATTTGTCTATAAAACAAATTTATTAAGGATATATTAAGAAGAAAGCTAACGTAAGTTTTTAAGATTATTTAATTTTTTCTTTCAGGACTCTGAGGTATTTATTAGTTCTAGAGAAATTCAAAAGTGGAAAATTAGCTTCTGACGGGTAAGGAAAATACTTTGTTTTTGTTACTTTTAAACTAAATTATTCATACAGAATGCCCCAAGTAATGATTTATAACATTATAAATGTCAGATGATACATTTTTTCAATTTAATTTTTTTATATTTCCACACATACAAATTTTAAAAGTTGATAGATAAAAACTTTTTCATTTGCAAATTTAATGTCCATTTGCCAAATTTAATGTCTGTGGAGGCTCATGTTGTATGCAAGTGCAGAGTATCACAACTGAAAAGCAAAAAAAGCTCCAGTAGTCAGAAAAACAGCTAAAGAGTGAGAAAACCTGATAAATGGGTCTACAACTAAAAAGAGTGTCCCCAGGAATAATTAGTAAACCATCTCAAAGTAATACCGATACACAAAAAAAGGATATAAAACAGACCCAAACAATTTAACCAATTTTTTCTAAAATGTTTAAATTGTATTAGTCTATTAAATCACATAATTATTATTTTGAAAGCTTTGACCGAGGTTTTGACCTCTTTAGTAATTAACAATTTGGATTTAAAAAAGGCCAGAATACTTCATAATATGCTATCATGACTCTTCTCAATTATATTCATGATGCTTTTGTAAATCAACTTCCCTCTGAAACAGTCTTGAGTCATTTAAAAACGGTAAATCACTTTCTATGTTATTAAATATAAATAGAATCGATATACTTTATCTAATCGACCACAAAGTGTTTGATGTAATGCAATTACAGCGATCAGTTAATTACGTGAAGAAGAGTGCCTCAGGGGTCTATTCTGGAACCATTCCTTTTCTTAATATTTACAAATAATTTACCTCTGTGAGTACTGCTGATCAAACTGTTTTGATCACTATGTATGTTGATGATATAAACTTCTCTTATCTAGACACAAACGGCACAAAATTCTCTGAATTAATAGTGAAAAAATTTGGTTTGACTAACAAGTTATTCCTAAACGAGAATAAAACTGAAATCATCAACTTCAACTTTCATATTACATCTGAACAATTTAGTCAGGTGAAATTGATATATTGATTTATATATTCCCCAGATTACTTGTGTAACAAACTTGCTAAAATAGTTTTTGCATTAAAGAAAATAAAACATTGCTTATAAAAAAGCAGCCATTACAGCTTATTACGGGCTGCAAAGATATTCATTTTATAAAAATCATTAATTTTATTGGTGCTAAAGGACATGTCCACTCATTATATGGTATTCTGGATTTCAAATGATTTCCTTAATTTTTTAATGTGTTGATTTTGGGATCAGACGAAGGAACTTTGATTCTGGAAATCGCTCGATTTTCGTAAGTTTTTGATATATCATTCTTGAGATCAAGAGAAACATCTTTTAAAAGTGTTGGCTTTAAAAATTGATCTGAGAATTTAATGCACTGAATTTTATTTTTGCAAATATACTTATTTTAGTTTTATCGGTCTAATCTTAATAGGTACAAAGACACATCTTATTTAATTCGGAATTTCTTTAAATTTATTTCTCAATATTAATTGCAACCTAAGGAATTTGTTTAATATGATTAAAACCGAGGGGGTTACCACTAAGGTCAAAACCTTTTCGACTCGCCATTGAAAATATAGACATTAGGTCTGAACTAGATAGTTTGTATTATGTTGTAACGGCGTCGATGTTGGGTACGTCGCAGCGTTGAGCGCCGCCTTGCGTCGGGAAGCCTAGTTTTGCAGCAGAGAGGAAGGTATTTATTAAAGTACTGCGTCGGGACGGATATAAGGTAGGAAATACTTAGGTGGTGTGGTATGTGACAAAGTTTGAGAGATAGGACGTAGAACGCCGGGACGTAGAAAGGTAGGGAAGTAGGGCGGCGGGACCTTGAGTGTCGGGACGTTTGGGAGGTAGGTCGTCGGGACGTAGACAGGTAGGGCAGAGGGACGTTGAGCGTCGGGACATGAAAGCGTTCGGGAGTTAGGCCGTCGGGACGTAGGACGTCGCTAGGAGGTAGGGTAGGTGTCGGTTAGGAAGAGCGTCTATTTAGGAAAGGTGTTGAATACTGAACTTGAAATATAACTAAATTTGAGAAGCAACTGAATTAGACTGGATTTAAAATAATAATGAATATCGAGTTCCTCGGGAACGGGTATTAATGACTTTGTGACGTCAATTTGTTGTAACTATGGTGGGAACAAATTTGGGTGGATAAAAAAGGAGTGGTCTATATCATGTCGAAATGTTTTAATGATTACTTCGTGAAAATAATTTTTTGGGTCGAATTATCATGGGATAACTTTTTATCTTTTCTGGTTATTGGGCTAGTACATCTAATATTAGAGACCCCGCAAACGAAAATATTTATTTATTAGACATCTTAGATAAGAATTATAGATTTTTGGTTAAATGAATTTAATGAGAATGCAACTTTTTTTTAATAAAATGAAATTAATAAATTATGAAGGTGTCTGGGTGCGGTAGGTTACATTTGTCTTGGTTTCAAGAATGACATATCAGAAAATTGGGTCGCGGAATTTTGTTCGAATCTTTTTGTTCGAAAACATTGTGTTCGAAAGTTATTTAGTTCGAATAAATTTTATTCGAAAGTAATTTTCTTAGATTTTTTTTTTAATCAAAATCATTTTGTAAAACAGTCGATAGGAATTTATCGATATCACAGTATAACAGTTTCATGAAATTATACATACAGTATGTTCCCCTAAGTTGGAATCATATGGAAAACTTTTTTATTATTAATTTTAGGAAAAAAGTTATTGTTCATAAAAAGTTCTGCATTATCTAAAACCTAGAATACAGTCATCAAATATTATATTTTTTCAATGGTATACGAGGTTTGTCAAAAATTATGAGTTTTACTCAAGATTAAAGTACCTTTATTCTTTATACAACTGATAAAATTTGATATTGTATGGTCGTATTTTAGGTTTTGGCGGCATATAAAAATCTTTTTATTATTAATATTGGGAAAAAAGTTATTCTTTATAAAAAGTCAAGCATGAAAAAATTTGATATTTGATGACTGTATATTTTAAGTTTTGGGTCATGCAGAACTTTTTATGAAGAATAACTTTTTTTCCTAAAATTAACAATAAAAAAGTTTTCCATATGATTCCAACTTAGGGGGACATACTGTATATCGTAAAATCACCAATCACTGCTAAGAATCACCGTAATTTTGAAATCACCGACACCGATATCCCGGTGAATTTAAAAATAATGTATCAACTGCAATTTTCTTTACATAAAATGAGAAAAAAAAATAACTATTTTACCTAACCCGTACGGCCTGGAGCCATCGCGTTTAGCTTCGCAATAATTTTTTACATAAAATGAGAAAAATTAAAAAATAAAACAACTAATTTACCTAACCTACCCCATAGAAATAATATAGAAGACCAATATAAATATAACATCCAAGCAGAAATTGAAACCTACTGTGCATAAAAACGCGTCTCTGCGCCTGACATCTCAAAATAGTGTGTCTAGAAGCTTGCGCAGTATGCATGACTTGTCCCTGTAGTGTTGCCAAGTATATTAAACATACCTAACACAAAAGAATTTTAAATTAATTTATTTTTAAATTACATGATTTAATCAGTTTATATCTACGAAATATCGCCCCAAAATAATTTATAAACATTTAAATAATCAACTATAATAGTAGTAATATTTATGTGTAATTACATTCCCAAAAATATATACAAATACGGTATTAATGTACAACAAAAGATTCACCTACAAATTCAATATTGACCTGGCAACACCACTTTAATCCGGTGTTTCAAGGCTCTATGACGGTGCCGTTACAGGACCGTTTGTGATATTTTGGCTTCAATTTGTATTTTATTATTTAATTACACGACATTTTATTTTTAGTTTCGTGTAGTGTTAAGTTAAATCCTAGGTACAATAAAAGACATTTTTACATTGGCTAATGAAAATGTAATCAATGTATTTAGCAGCTGTTATATTTATTACAAGATTTATGTCTAGAAATTCAAACCTACCTAAGAATTATAATTATGTAAATAGAGAGCTGTATATTTATATACAGGCTGTCCAGCGACGGGGAGACGTTATCGGTATCTGACAAAATAATGAATGATTTTTTGTTAAAAATAGTAAACAGGCTATGATATTTCCATCTAAAATATTTTGACAGTTCTGTTATTTCCTTTTTATTTTAAATGAGATGCCACTTCTATTATTCCTGATAGCGATGGAACATGAAATGTTGCTTATTTGGAATATATACCTTTACACAACGCTCATGACGTCAGAGACAGTTTCAGTCGGGTATAATTTAAAATAAAGAATTTTAAAACGAATCGTATTAATTTGTACCTGTACCTAACATTTATGGCATCACTAGCCGAGTTGGCATCGGGTATATTTTCAAATGTAGAAACTGAAAATTAACCCTATTAAATTGTATACTTTTAAATGCGGGTTTCAAGGCATTTTAAAATATAAACTCGATCTCAACGAACTTAGAAACTTCTGTCACTCGATATTTTAATCGTTACTTCCTCTTCGCTTTTTGGCCGGCACAACAATTATTTACATTTCTTCATTCTTTACCGCGTGCGAACCAGTACGGTTTAAAGAAATTTTAAAAAACCTACTTTAAAAATGAAGATGTTAATGATTTTCTCATGGATCCCATCTTCAGATCCTGACTTAACTTATGTAGTATTATTCATTTTCTAACAAAAAGAGAATCATAGAAACCGGGCAACGTGGTAAAGAATTATCGCTCAACATACATAAAAAAATATTTCAACGAATTGAGAATATCCTCCCATTTTAAAGTATGTTAAAAAAAATTGTTAATAAAGTGCAAAGTAGGGTGATAATATATATTATGAAGAATATAAAATGATAGATAAAGCCAGTGTAGAAAGTATTATAAATAAACTGTGGAAATATCGAGAATCTCGATTTTGAATCGGAAGAAGAGTATTCTATGCAATTTAGAATGAAAAATGATCAAAATGAAACAAATGAACGACATGCTAATGTTATTGACAACTTTCTTCAAACATTTTCTAGTTTTCCGAAAACTAACTGGATAGTTCGAAAATCATTTCCGCCGTTAAAGCGCCTCTCGTTCCGAAAAAGATATACGCCTGTCAACATTCATCGTTCAACAAAAAAAGTATTAGATACAAAACGCTTCGTATTGTAAGGCCAAAATATATTTGGAAATCAACTATAAACAAAAAAATCATTATAGTGAGATAACTACCAAATTAATGATTTACAAGTTTATTCTTATTATCTATAAAATAGGTTTGCAATGTGCTGATGTGGAATGTTATCATCGACTAAAAACTTTAAATCTTTGTATTAAATTGATCGAAAACAATCCATAAATTGGTTTAGACTATACAGAATGTTTCTAATAAGCAGCGACTAACTTTTATTATGAAAACGAAAGACCCTTTTAAAAGGATTTAAAATTAAAATAAAATATGTACCAAGTACCAAGTAAATGTAGTAGTATTTTTTAATTTTGAATCTTGAGTGATGCAGACATATTTGGATACTTTATATTGAAAATGGTAACATGAAAGGTTTTTTGTCTAATTGTAAGTAACGACTCACAGTCTTGGCTGACAAAATATAAAAAAATATCGAACATAATAGTCCTGGGCGAAACGCACCTGCCCCCTATTTTGCACTACTCAAATTAAATTTACTTGTAGCAAATGATACTAAATCAAATAAGATGTCAAATCACAAGCAAAATCTCGTGATTGCAGCACTAATGATTTCTGTAAATTAACCAATTCATTTTTCATGCCATATTTTTCTTTCAAAAACATATTTATCCTACTTGAATTTTTTTCATCGTTTTTTATATAGAAGCATCTCTAAAAATGTATGAATAAAACATGGTTTGAACTATTTGTTCGATCAATAAAAAACTTGCACCGGTCCTGTTCGAGCCAGCACCGTTATACGCATGAGCTCCGACACACTATTTTCTCCTTAGGGTTTCAGTTTTGATATATGGAATCGGCTTTCTATACTATTTCTATGACCTACCCCTATCTAAAACTTGTTTAAACCTACTTTGACAAAAATTAAATGTACATCCAATAAAAAATAATATTCATCTTTTTTCAATTAGTTTTATTTCAATAAACATTTAACAGATCAAACGGAGCAATTTTGTAAGTCTTCCTACAAATTTGACTTACGAGTTAAAAAATAGACACATACCTTAGTGTGTATAAATAATTAATAAAAATAAGCGAGCACTTTTGCTTTACAAAGCCATGTTCGAATCTAAATTTGTTTAAGAAGGATATTTTTCCAAATTAGATATTCGAACAAAATGTGTGTGATTCGAATAAAAATTATCGAACAAAGTTCCGCGACCCTAGAAAATTACGAAAAATCTTGCGACTTCCAGGATCAAATGCATTATATTCAGGTCAGTTTTTCGAACACACTCTGTATAGCTACAAAAAATGTTCTTTTTAAAAGTTGTTTCTTCTGATCCCAAAATCAACCCATTAAAAAATTAAGAAAATCGTTCGAAACCCAGGATACTATACATTGAGTGCCTTGTCCTTAAATGAACACGGTGAACATATCTAAAATTATTTAAAATTATTACTATTTTCTAGATTAGTATATGAGAATTTTAAATACATAAAGAAAAACATACATTTGTTTCAAAACTCTCATCTGTATAAAAATGTTCTATGTACTATCCAGTGATATGCAGTGAGTAGATTCCTTAAAAAATTAAATAAACGCTAGTTTGTATGATATTGAGGATTATTTTGTAAATATAAAGAATGTTGATCTTACTATTTTGTGTCGTTTTGTGTTACATTTTTTTTTACGTGTTTATTTGTACCTAAATGTTATATTTTGCATTTTCTTTTGACAATTGTAAAAACAAGTGTTCAAAACAAGAAAAATATATATCTAAAAAATATTACCAAAGAGACAAGACGGTTATTTAAAAGCTGGGAAAGCAGAGGAATATCAACACCTTTCAGAGAAATATATTTTACCCTTACCTGCACATAATCGATAATATAAAGATCTCTTGCATTTTAATTTTCATACTATTGATTTATGTAATTCAAGAAAAACATCATTATTGTTTTAGCCTTCCTGTGGGTAAAATATTTCAAATGCAAAAATACGAAATACTTTCCATTATAAGACTGTGCTTAGATTTAACGCATGCAGTTAACACTTTACCACCAGGTTTTATGTGGTCATCTAAGCTTAAAGTGTGGCACGTGGGACTGATAGGAACGTTATCGTCTGTACTAGGAATATATCAAATTTTCTTTAAGAGGACGTTGAAGTAAAGGAAAATAATTGGAGATATTTAAAACAGTAATATAAGGAAAATGGATGGATGTAAGCAATTAATAGTTGTTATATGATATATTAAGGATTTTTATAATCTGTTCCAATTTTTAAAGTTTATTAAACCGTTTATTAAAATATTTTTCATTTATTTTTCTTGTCCGCTAGATTTTATCGGAGAAAATCTGCATTTAAGGTTAAAAAAAATACTGTTAGATCTGAAGCTTTTATTTATATAATAAGTTTTAAAATTATCACTTTTTAAGATTGAAATTTTAGAGGAAATAAGTAACTATATTCAACTACCTATCCCATACACATGTCATATTTAAAGGTACACTTGTAAATTTCAAAAAATTTTCCGTTATTTATGTATAGCGTTAAAATCGTATCTTGAAATATGGCATAAAATTTTATTTCATTTAAAATAATATAACTGGGAATTTGCACAATTTGATTTATTTATCGATTAGATATTGTAATACCACTTAATTTGAGTATACAAATTATTATTTGTGTATTTAATTTGGCACTAAGACACTTTTCTTGAAACATATTGAGCTTTGATGTATCTTTTAAAAATCAAAAAATTTTTCAAAACATAAAAAACCTATTTTCTGAATTAATTAGTATGAATTAGTATTTTTGAGATTCATAGTTATGTTTGAGACAATTATTTATTTAAAAAATATTTTTTAATTAGTATTGTTATTATTAAATCAGTCATATGCAAGGTGTTCTCACTTTGAACATATTGATATTGATCAATAACTGCAAAGGAGGGCCTATAAAAATGTTAAGAACACCTCGCATTATTCCAGAAAATTTTATTGTGCTCATTCCCATTGTAAATTTTAACAATAAAATCATCGAAATATTAAAAGTTCTCTAAAATTTGCTAAAAAAACGTTAAAAATTAATAAAACACAAAAAACATTCACAAAGTCACAGTAACAGTACCAAGATGTTTGCAAATACTTTACAGCAGTATTATTGACTAGTATACTGCTCGGTTTAAGTCAAATAGTCTCATCTAAACATTTATTTTGTTGTTAGATTTATTTAAGCCATTTTAAATTAAATTTCGTACATTAGGGGAATAAGTATGTCTCATTACAATGAATCAAACGGATTGGCCGTTAGACACAACAGTATGGTACGCGTAGGGCAAAGGGCCAACCGCTAACGTTAAAAAGTATTGTAAGCGACATGTCTTGCGCTTATATTTTTAAATAGTGATGGGTCTTTTCCGGAAAAGTAATTTGTTCACATTTTTAACGGATATGTCCGAACAAGCAGAAAAAACATTTAAAATGCATGTAATATTTTTTTATTTTTTTTTTTTAATTTCTAATGCTTACCCACAGTTTTTTTGTGTAACTCGCACTGGTTCACCAGTAGGAGCTGTCAAAGTAGTTTTTGAAAGCTACAGCCAAAAGTAGGGAGAAAAAAATATCCGACCAATATTTAATGAATTTACAGCCATTTTTATACCTGAAAACGTAAGAAATTGATAACTCAATGTTATTTAGATTAATTTTTTCTATTGATTACCATTATCTACACTTAGAACATTTTTAGAAATATTATGATTTCTCACTCATAATGAATATAATTTCGAAAAGCGTGAAATTCCCCACAAGGTCCATCAAACCGATTTGCAATATTGCAAATAGTGAGTAAGTATTAGAAATTTGAAAAAAATTATTTTTTACATGCATTTTAAATGGTAAAACTTTAAATTTAAATAGTAAGTACATAAAATTGATATTAAGAGCTCAAACTTGGCGAGAATTTTTTTTCTATATGTAGATTAATATTTTGCTTGAGCACAGAAATTTTTTTTTTGCGGAAATGAATGATCCTAATGTCGATCGGAGATAAACATGGGATTTCGGCACCAAACTACTTTTCTCTAAATGCTTTTAGAAGGTATAGAGCACTACGTTCTACTTCAAATATTAAACAAGATAGCCTGTGGTAAACTGCACCAAGCCCTATACGCATTTGTGGACCTAATGTCATATTCCCTTAAAAATGAAGTAAAAGGAACCAAGTGGATTTATCCTTCTAAAGAAAGTGCAAATAATTTGAAAAAGAAGTACTCAACAGCAGAATCTGAGGAATATTCTGATTTTCTTGGTTTCTTGTATTTTAATGTTTAACATTTACATGGTGCCCTTTTTCTTACAACGTATATTCCCAGTGTCGGATTGGGCCGTCGGTGTACCGGTCAAAAGGCAGCGGGTCCTCGTTCAGGCTGTGGGCCCTCGTTCAGGTAGTGGGCCCTCGTTCAGGTAGTGGGCCCTCGTTCAGTAGGTGGGCCCTCATAACTTAAATTCAAAAAACCCCGTAATACGTGACTTTTTGTGCTCTTCAATGAGAGATGCTTTTTTTATCTTTTGCTCTTCAATGAAAATTGGATAATGAAAAAGGTGGGCCCTCCTCCCTCCTGAACCAGTGGGCCCTCCTCCCGCCTGACCCAGTAGGCCCTGGAGGTCCCAATCCGACATCTGATATTCGGTAAATAAGTTAGGGGTATAAGACTCTTATGACCCATACCTTTTTCAAAATGAAACATTTAAAGAAGAAAATGAAACAATGTGTAATGTAATTTTTTAACGAGGTAAAAAAATAATGACAAGGTATATATGATTATTTTAACAGGTTCGCCAAACTTTCCCCGTGGGCCAAGACTTGGAACATATATCAAACTGTCATATTTTAAGGTGTATGGTACAATTTTTTTGGCATTTATATTTGAAAAATAGCAGCAAACCAGTTGGAATTAGAGCTTTGGCCTCAGTAAGTCACCGATATTTGGCGCGCACATAGAAGACACGTCACTACAGTATAACAATTTTTATTTCAGGATGACATATCTGCAAGACATTCGCATTATTGCCGGCCCACCACAGTGCAATTCGCAGATGAGTTGTCCTCAAATAAAAATTGTTATACTATAGGCAATATTTGTTAACTAGCTTTTTAGCTCCTTTTAAACCCGCAAGACTGGCTTAAACTGGTAGTAAACACATTTATTATTTATAAAACTACACTAAAGTATATCCTTTACCTCTGACATGAAGATACAAAGATTTTTGTTTTGTTTTTATATGTTGCATAACAACTTTTATTAACTCCATATATTTACATTATCTTATCTTTTTATATTATGTTGTGGTTTTATAAAATTAAATAATATTTTTTCCTACGACCACTTAGGAAAGTGACACATATCACACTATATAGTCCTATGGAAAGTGTCCTATATCACACGCGTATGAATAAGAATTTACTTTCCACCCGAGTGAGAATAAGTTACTTTCCGCAGTAGTTGTCACAAAACGTCAAACACCTAATTTCTATTTTGATCTATGTAATGTCCATATTAATACTAAAATCGATATGATTGTTAAATTATTGAAATAGTGTCCTAGATATTTATCTTTAACAATTATTATTAAAATAATTTTAAAATAATGTTTGCTCTTTATTATGGTTAAATATATAACCGATTAGATCATTCAATTGACACAAGGGCTATTAGCTCAGGTGGTTAGGACGTCGAACTTATCAACTTTGCCATTTTTCGACCGCGTTCGAATCCTGCGGGGCAGAATTTTTTTTTGTTATTTTATTTTTTTTTTTTTAGTTTTTTTTTTGTTTAGAAAATATGAAAATTAAATAAATACGATTATTGTTGATTATTTTTTTAAATACATTTTAATTATTATAGTAATAATAACCTTGGTTTTACATTTTTTTGATGCCATTATTTTGTGGTCGTAGGAAAAATATTGTACATCACTTGTGTGAAAAGTAATTTTCCACACTCGTAATGTAATATACTATATTAGTAGAGCTATGTATGAAAAGGTTAAATTGTTAAATGTGTGATACTTTTCAAAACTGCACAGAAAATATGTAAATTAAAAAAAAAAAGGTTTCTGAAACTATTTTGCTTACAGAAATAATAATCAAATGAGTAGATATTAAATTTAAACTATGGATATAATTTTAAAATATGTGTCAAAAATTATCGTCGTTCCTTCAGAGTCAATTTTATATACAGGGAATTTCAATGAAAACTATCCACCCTAAATAAATTTGAAAGTGAGGCTTTTATAAAAAATACAAAAAAATAAGTCAAAAATCATATAAAGGGCGACGTCTTTTTGCTCATGTATACTGATTGTAACGTTTACCATCACTTCTCCATGGCCACCTCATGTTTTTTTATTATTGCATTTTTCATTTCTCTAATATTTGATTTCAAAAATGTATAGCTGAGGTTTAAAGTGAACCATTTAATTTAAATTTCAGGTATACGTTTTTGGAATGGAATATAAGAGAAAAATAGAAAAATTAATATACAGGGTGTTACACTGAAAAAAAAAAGTGGGGTGGCCATGGGGAGGAAATGGGGAAAGTTACAACGAGTATACATGAGCAAAAACACGTCCCCCTTTATATGATTTTAGAATATTTTTTGTATTTTTTTATAAAAACCTCACATTTAAAATTGTTTAGGGTGGATATGTTTCATTAAAATTTCATGTACATCTCATTTTTCGCGTTTTTGTTTTTATAAGATATGAAATGAAAATTGGAAAATTAAGTTAGTAGATCATTTGTTGTTTCATCTTTCTTAAACTATATTTGTTTATAAGAAATTCAGCCAAATTATTTAATTTCGCGCGATTACAAAATACTTTTCCACTTTATATTTGTTCACTTTTCAGACATGTTTGTGGACATTTCGAAGCGACCCATCACTATTTTTAAATACTAAACAAAACTCAAACTAATACATTATAGCGATCTAGGTTCAATGCACGGGGTTTTAAATGTTGCAACTTTTTTTTCTAAACTTAATATAACCTATAAATGTTGATGATTAAAATGATCCAGTCAAATTAATAAACCGTCAGATAATGACAGATTTTCTCTTTTCTGGAATTTTAACCACTGAAAATTATGTAAGTGTTGAACTCAAAAAATGAAAATTTGGTGACCGAACGTGTTCTATGGAAAATTAATTTTCCTTTTGCAGAAAAAATAGGATTTTTTTAATCTCCCGTTTATAACATTTTAAGACATTAACATTTATAACAATCTAATAGTGAAAAACCAAAGCCATAAGGTTTGCACCTACTTAAAGGGTTAAAATAAGGGCGCAATCTTGTAAAAAAATACTCGCTTGCCGATTCATTTTCTCGCTTATGACAAGCGACATAATGAAATTGATATCGTTAGAAAACCGATAAAAATTTCCCATAAGCCGATCAGCTGTTGAGGTAAATTTTCTGACCGGAATTTTTTTTTCGTTTTCCGGCGGACTCTCTAGTGAACGAAATAAAGTTCAATAAAAATTTGTAAATGTAAAAGTCGGTTATAAAAAAGCCATATGTCTAGTTCATGATTATCACAGTTTATGAAACCAGAAAACTTGCAGGAAAATCAGAGAGCATTTTGTTTGTTTTTTCGTTGATGGGAATTGGCATGTAGGAAGAAATATATAAATAAATAAATAAATATATAAAATTCTTTGAAAATGCTGTTGCAAGAAAATTAAAAAAAATGTTTATTTCTCTTTTGAAGTTTAGGATATACAGCACCAATGACCCTGTATCCGAAAATCTAAAGTGTCAATAAGAAATGCTATTAAGTACTGAATATTGTCACTGGGTATTCATATAAATATATTGCTAAAAATAGCATTCATTATGAGTTTAATAAACATTATTTACATCTCTTTCATTCAGGCCGGCACAACTCAGATTTTCAAAGGGCCAGATTTGAAAAACCGTAACTGTATGAGGGCCGCAAGAGAGGCCGGAGTCGGTTCAAATTTCAAAAAAAAAGGTGAACACCTTTCATTTATAAACCCACTCCTGCTGGTCGAGCTTCTAAAAAAAAAGGTCGTCAACCATCTTGCTGATCGAGTTTTCTAAAAAAAAAAAGACGTAGGCAGGCCAAACTGGTCAACGGCCGGCGGGCCGCCAAAACGACACTGGCGAGCCATATGTTGTGCACCCCTGCTTTAATTATTGTTTATTTAATATTTACAACTAAATGCTGTCCTCGATTTTTGTCCACTAAGCCACACAATTCATTACATATTTCCGTATTAAAAAGTAGAAGAGCCTATTATTAAAATCGGGTTACCTTTGAAATATGCAAGATTCATAATTCACGATTCATATTAATTTTCGTGCGCCTATCATTTGTCACTTATAAGTAGGATATTTGTTTATTTAATTTTTTGTTTCGGGCGGTATTTTGCATTTGTGATTTTTTAACTGTTTTTAGATAATAGTGTTTTTGAATTTCATTTAGTATTAATTTAAGTTTAGTTTCCGTGCTTTCGTCATAAATATAATATTTATCATGTGTTTATGACTAATTTGTTGGAAATCTTCACCTTTCTGAATTCTAAACAAACGTCTAGAAATATGTATTTACTGAACGCTGGACATGTTTTTTTATGTGGTTTAAAGAAAATTTCAGATAACTAATGTTAAAAATATTATTCTTTATATTTTATAAAAATATTTTGTTCTTTTTACCAGTAATAATATATGTATAATAAATAAATTAAATGTATCCTTTAATTATTCCTTTGTCAACATTTATTACATTCAATATATATGTATAAGCCTACCCAGACAGCACACCAAATCCTTTGGATATCTACTGGACATCCCAATATCCACTGAATGTCTAGTCCATGGTGGATATCTATTTTATATCCATGAGATGTAACTTATAGACATGCAAATGTCCATAAATAATAGTAATTATATAGCAAATTATTAAAAAATTACGCCATTGTGCTCGCCATTGTGGCTAATAGTACCGTTCAGATATTTAAAATTAATTTTTTTAAGGTGTATTCAATATCCCATGGACATCCACTAAATATATCAAAGTCTAGGCGCGAACGCAAACCATGGTGGATATCTACTAGATGTAATTTTTGATTTTGCCCACTAAGAAGAAAGTCATTCTTGGACCGGTTTCGTCCTTATTAGGACTAGAATTATTTCATTTTTTAAGAATAGCCCGCCTGGCTTTTATTCCACCTAGTCTTTGCTAGGTACTACAGCGACCTTTGATTTTGCTTACTAAGTATAGATGACGATACCATTTTCGCTCGTTGAATATCTACTCATGCTCAACCCGCCGTAATTGAGTTTGATCGAAATTGGTATTACAATCAGATTCCATTAGAGACTGGAGTCGAGAATTTCTATTTATTGCTGAAGAGTCCTCTTAAGGACGAAACTGGTCCAACCAAGAATGACTTTCTCCTTAGTGGGCAAAATCAAAGGCAGAGTGTTGAAAATATTTTCTATCTCTGCTATTTTCTTTCGACGTTATTCAATATCCATTGGTTACTTATGAACCTCTACTAAAGATACCCATAAAATATTTTGCTGAATATCCATAGAATATCTTCTATATCCTGGGATATAGACGGACATTTGGATATCCACAAAATATATTCTGTGGATATCTCTGGGATTTGGTATGTTATCTGGGTATTGCTCTATTTTACTCCAAAAAAAATTATTTTAATAAATAAATTATACTTATTTAATATTATTAACAATGCCTCCGGCTTATGGCTTTTTTTATATGGTCTAAGAATAAAGTTTGCAATGTATATGCCAAATCCCATAAAAGAAGAAATTAGTAATTTTCTCAATTTTATCGCAGCAGCATTTTCAAATAATTGGATGTATTTATATAAAACGTCGATATCATATTTTCAACTTATGGCTTTTTTTGAGGTGCAGGCAAAGCTTATGGGACTTATGGGAATTTTTTTATGATGTTTATCCATCATTAAAATCATATGGTTCAAATGCCATAAACGAGAACGTTTTCAGGAAAACGAAAAAAAAGATTTTTCGGGTCCCTAACGATATCAAATTTCATTCTGTAGATTGCCATAAGCGAGAACATTATCAACCGAGTATTATTTTATAAGATCGCGCCCTTATTTAAACCTTTCAAGTACTTGCAAACCTTATGGCTTTTCTGAAAATTAATTTTCCGTATGCTTAGCACACGTCCGGTCGCTAAATTTTCATTTGAGATCAATACTTACATAATTTTCAGTGGTTAAAAACCCATAAAAGCGAAAATTAGTCAGCAAAATTCGTCATTAAGTCAGTTTGTCAGTTTTTGTATAAGCCAAGCAACACAAAAAATAAATCTTTTTTGGATGATATTTGCAAACACCCTTAAATTAATAATATCTAATAGTATAAAATCGTATATATCACTAGAAATCATCAGGTAACTCTACCAAACTAAAAAATGAACACCAACACCAAACAAAAAATAAAATTCGTTTAAATAAAAACTAAAAAACAAACAAAAACTAAAGTAAAATCAAAGGAACACAGTCAATTAAAAAAAAAAACAATAAAAACAAAATACAATCTTTTAGCCTAAAACTGCATGCAGGATGCTTAAAACGGGGTATTACCTCCACCAATGAACTGTAATAAAAAGAACACGTTTTAGTGATCTACACCAAATTTAATAATAAACTTTTTTTGACACAATAACAGTTGATATCATGTAACTTTTTATAATCATCTGAAAAAAAGGTTTTTAAAACCATTAACCAAAATCGTAACGACCTTTTTCGTAGCCAATTTGTATCACCGGAGAGCAGTCTCATCAGTATAATATACAATTAACTCCATACAGTGCTCGACTGTAATGCAAATATCTTAAAATTTATAAAACTATTTAAATGACCCGACCTCCCAACAAAAATCCAAAGTTGAACTAACAATTAAAAATTTTAAATATCAACACTTAAAACTACACTTATATATGTTAAACACTAACAAATCCAAATCTATTAAGTATAAAACATTGGGTTATTGCTAAAATGTGATTATATATTTGAAATTTAAATAATAAAATTCAACGTTTAGGGGAAATCTAAGTGTCCCGGAATTATTGTATTAGTAATAAGTCGAGAATTATAGAATTTATGAAAATTGTTTAAAAATATTGAAGTTATTGGCAAGAAAAAAAATATTTAAACTATAATAATACAAGGACGTCAAAAAGATGCTACCACACTTTAAATATAATTTTTTACGTCGATGTGCTTAATTTAACATTTAAACAGGTGGTAATATGGCGAAATATAGTCGGTCGCCACACATGTAAAAGGTAGATAGTCATGGCGGTTAATATTAATTAATGGATATGGAGAATGTTAAATTATTCAATATAAATTTCTATCTTTTAGAAGCTGTGGATGTTTCTATGCAAGAAAGCAGAATGAGTTTGTAATAAAAAACTAATATCTACCTATTTTTTTAGTAAATTTCGCACGACATGTAGTTATTAAAAGTAACACGCGACGCAGACGCAAGAGTAACCTTCCAAAAGATTTCTGAACTTAGATGAGCTGAGGAACGTTACGCCTTATTCTTCTGACATTTCGCCAAGGGATTACCACCACCTTCTTTGGTCTTTTGGCAACCGTACGAGACATATACAGTTTGTTTATCCACTTCGGACACATATCTGCTCTAACTACATTTGGGTTTGTTTAATCAAGATGTAGCTGTAAAAATTACATTTTTTACATCTGGATTTGAAATGAGATGTTAATAGTGTCAAGGTTATTTTTGTTAGATTCTATTCCCTCCACTGTCCACAATGTCCATTTACTCCTGATGTGGCTCCATTCGACCGGAATACCATTTTCGTGAAGAATGAGCTGTGCATACTGTTAAAAGTATTATTTAGTTGTAGTTTTTTTTTAGTTATCGGTAATTTCGACAACTAAAGATTATTTGAATTCACAAAATAATATACTTAATCATTATATGCTTAAACTGGTCAATATCACGTTTACCACATGACTAATACATTTACATCGTTTATTACATCCGTATTTGAACGTAATCCTGAATCACGTGATCAAAAATTCACATCTCGGATGCATCCGATGTGAATAAACAAACGTAACAATTTTAGATATTACATATGGCAACTTTATCACCATTCCTCACAAATTCCTGACATACTATTGCCTATTATACCTATATTATAGAAAGTTCAAAACCAGTGGTGATAAATAAATTCAGTCAATTTTTCGATTCAAAATCTGTAGACAGAAATATTGTCAGGATGTGAGCGTGATGGTAATTACTTGGTGTACTATTCCAACAGATTAAGAAATTTGTAAAATTTGACCCAAGCGGTATGTAGTAGCATCATTTTTAATAGCCCAAATCATCAAATATTTTTTTATCAAAAATATAAACAAACGTACGAGGCGTACTTTCAAACTACTTCCAACTAAATCATCGTAAACATTATTTAAATAGAATGTTCCAAATTCTAAAATTAAACAATCTAACGGTAGTAAAATTAGAATTTCGAAATTGTAAAGTTTCATTTAGAACTTTTTTCAATAGAACTCAATTAACATCAACAAAAAAAAAGTAACAACCTAGAAATAGTTTGAAGATAAATCGAACTCTTATATACTGTCAAAAGTGGTTTATGCCCTTTTAGAGTTAACAAAACACTAGGAACCACGATCAAAATGTATATACGAGCCGTTTTGACCTATATATCTACACTAACCTAAATTAAATACCAACAATTAAATAACAATAACAAGAAATATTCATCTAGTAATGTAGGTACGCTAACACTTTAGCGTAGGCTATCATACAAACCGAGTGCAGCTTAGGCTTTTGGCAAGGCGAACAGACCAGTGGGCGTTGCTGGTGGCGTGGACACGGGGCTGCTCCCAATTGCTCCTAATCCGACAACTTGGTTGTTCTTTGAATTTCTCATCAGTGGCTTGTGATGACGAAATTCGCTGCTGTGCTGCCACTGCCAGCAAGTACGGCAAAAGTAACGGAAGCAGTTCATGTCTCTGCAGAAGTAGGGGCCTTGCTGAACTGAGCATATGGAGCACAGCGAGTCTTCCAAGTAAGGATCCACTTGAACCTAAACAAAATTAAGAATTAGACAGTCAAACGTCCTGTCAAAAATCAAATATGGTTGTCTATTCGCGAATTAAATTAATTTTCGCGCGCCTGTCATTTTTTAGCTATAAGTAGGATATTTGTTTGTATACATTTTTTGTTTTGAGCGGAATTTTGTATAGATATCATTATAACAGTGTTTTTGAGTTTCATTTAGTGTTAAATTAAGTTTAATTTCCATGCTTGTGTCATAAATATATGTTTGTGTTTATGACTAATTTGTTTGAAATCTTTGCCTATCTGGATGCTACCCAAACATCTAGAAATATTTGTTTACACGCAGTAATGTCTTATAATGTGGTTTAAAGGAAATTTCAGGTACCTAACGTTTATTATTGATAAACTTAATTAAAAATCTTACTATCCTTGTTCTTATATTATGAAGTGAATGTTGTACTACTTTGTATACATTTAAACGGTATTGAAACTGTCACAATGCAGAATGCAGTTTGATTCTAGACAAAATTTTTGCAAAATCTCAATAATGTGCTTTTGTAGATATCCATTTATCGTAACAAAATTTTACGACTTACGCTTGGAAAATAATGAAAACTTCAGTTTTGATTTTGACATTAACACTATATAGATTGCAATTTGCTGGGGACTTTTTCGCAAATTTAATTTTTAATATAAACACTATCTCACACTATAAGAAATAAACAAATTTAATGCTCACAAATAAGAAAAAACAAACAAAATGAAATGAAAAAAAAATATATATATATAATCTAAGGGTTAATCGTTATTTTATCATCTTGGAGATTACTAATGCCATGGAAAAATCAAAATGATAACAAGGAGGTGGGACTATAAGATGGTTATCTACCTAGGATTTGGTATGAAGATAGGCAGTTGGAGTTAGTATCTTGATCAGTTCCCAATATTACCTACCCTGTTTGATTAGCCTTCTATATTATCTATTACAGTAAGAAGTTGTGGTTATTTTTGGTTAATAGTGACTGAAGTATTGAAAAATGCAGTGTAGTTCAAGTTCAAAGTTTACACCTGTGAAACGTACAAAAAAGTGTGTTGTCAGTTTAACGAGAAAATATTTGTAAGCAATGTTTATAAGTGCCTAATAATGGAAAATCCTTTATTTTCTATTGACGATACTGTTGAAAAGACAAGTAACATAATGGGTGTAAGCAAATCAACGATATATAAAGTTATAAGTGAATTAAAAAGTGGAGCAAAGAAAAATGTAGGAGGTAAGAAAAAAGAGGAATTTACTGAACAAATTGAAAGCGGAATAAGAAGAAAAGAATTGTATTTTAAAAAAGAGGTATCAACACTTGCCAAGGTATTGGACGCTTCAATAGTGATCCGTATTTTCTTGAAATGGGAAAGACAAAACTACGGGAAACTCTATAGATTTGAAGTTCAAGTGGGATAAGCAGGACAGGAAAGCAGCACTTATTGATTCTGATGAAATTGTTTGTTGGAGACGGATATACCTCGGGACCATTTTCAAATTACACGCAGAAGGCAAACTGATATTTTATTTGGACGAAACCTGGGTGAATGAAGGTTACACAGTTAGCAAAATATGGCAGGACACAAACATTCAATCTTTACGACAGGATTTTTTGGAAGAATTATCTACAGCAGTGTTTCTCAAAGTAAAAAAAGTGAAGCAGTACTATGAGGAAGTTCGCCACAAAAGAGAGGACCTGGTTTGAGGACCTTTTTTTTTAGAATTCACTAAGACAGGATATGATTTTGCTTGAGGACCTTTTTTTTAGAAAAAAGTTTGAGAAACACTGATCTACAGGATTGAAGGTTCCTTCCGGTAAAGAACGACGTCTAATTATAACTCATATTAGACGTGATGACGGGTTTTCAAAATGTGGTTCTTCAATATTTTAATCTAAAAAAAAAACGGAGACTATTATGAAGATATGAACGCTGATGTTTTTGAAGAATATTTTCAGCAGATGTTAGAACATTTACCAGAGGGTTCAATTATAGTAATGGATAATGCCAGTTACCAATCCCGTCTAATTGGACGTGTGTCAAATACTTCATGGAAGAAAGATGATATCATTAAGTGGCTAACAGAAAGAAACATTAAATTTTCAGAAAAATCAATAAAAATAGAACTACTAGAAATTGTAAAATTAAATAAGCCTCCAGTACGTTATGTAGTAGATGAACTTGCAAAAACATATGGTATTGATGTTGTGCGTCTTCCTCCCTATCAATGTAAACTAAATCCAATTGAACTGATATGGGCACAAGTTAAAGAATATGTATATTTAAGTTAAAAGATGTAGAAGCATTGTTAAAAACCTCCTTATCACTTGTTACGAAGGCAAAAGGCAATCGAGTATGTATTGAAAGAAAATGTATTTATCATGTACACCGATGTTGTATTGGAGGTATTTGTAGATTTGAGAAAGAACCTTACGTCGTCTGGCTAGAACTAGCACTGCAAATTTCCGTTTAGGAATATCGCCAGTCAATGTCGTTGATAGCCTGTGGGTAAGGGGACACGTCTGGCAAACGTGGACGTCTAAGTTCGACCCCCGGCGATGACAGATTTTTTTCTTCAAATCTACAAGTATTTGTTTTCACCTTTTGGATCCGGGGATGGTCTTAATAATTCGTTCAGGGGTTTTTAAGATTAGTTTCCAAATTTTCAAATAATTTTTAAAGTTTTTGTTCGTTTAAAAAAGCTGTAGGATGCATTTTATAGTTTTATAGGGTATATAATTAACTGAGGCTTGGTAGGTTCTTACAGAATGCAGAACGCGTATTTTATTACCAAAATCCGCACCCAATCTAATATCTGATATATTGTAGGTTGGTATATAGCTTTCTGCATAACGACGTCCACCGTTTTTAATTTTATTTTACCTTATTAACAAAGGGTTTATTTATTACACCCACGTTTCATCACCTGCGATAATGTACACCAAATTAAGCCGATCCACGGTCAAAGCGATATTGTTTAGATCTGCACTCTCTAACACGATCTTCTTTTTGAGCTAAAGTCAAATGTTTGTAAATATTTAAAATTGCTAGACTGTTTTTGACGTAATGTGCTGAGCCTCTTTATGATCATTTTCTGAATAAAATTTGTAACTGCTGTTTTTGACTTAGAAGCTGGATCACACATTTAAGTAAAATCTAAAGTCTCGGAAATACCCCAAGTTTATTCGCTTTCTTTATTGTTTGAAATGTAAAATGAATGAAACAAAAAGTTACTAGATTTTGGCACGTCGTAGATTAATTACATATTATGTCAGGTGGCAGTTATCAAAATAATTTTGAATTTGTCAATTTGTTAAAAAATTGTATTTTAAGAGACACATCTATTTGCGAGGCTCTTGGAGAGAGGTACAATCAAATGGCTGCAGAGGCATTAAATATTTCGCAAAAAAACTATCTACAGACTTAATAAACCAACAAATTCTGATACCGAGTATGTGAAAATAATGTCTAAAAAAATTAAGCCAAAGTAAAACAAAAGTCAATTCTTTAATATTAGATAAGTTGAGGCAAGTTATATATAAGATGTACGGAGGTGCGCAACATGTAACAATGAAATCGATACATGAACGATTTTCGGAAGAAATGCCTGATGTAAAATGTTCTGCACGGTCAATTAATACATGGATTTGAAAAATTGGTTTTCGCTTTAAGAGAAGTAACAACATACAGTTTGTATTGGAATGAGCATCGATTTAGTTAAAAAAAATTTTTTGAAATATTTTAACAAGGAGATAGAGCTGGGTAACCTGTATTTATGGATGAGACGTGGGTATATACACCAAGGGAAGTGACAGAAAAAGTTGGCAAGATGGAACGATGGCTACTACAAGTAAAAAAACAGGAGATGGAATTCGATTCATAATTGTCCATGGTGACAATGAAGAAGATTTCATAAAAATGCAGACCTCATATTTAAAAGTCAACAAAAAGCGGGGATTACCATAATAATATGAACACAGAAAATGTTTAAAAATGGTTTAAGGCGAAATTTAAACCTAGTTTGGAATATCCTTCTTTGATTATATTCGATAATGCCAGGTTATCATTTGCGGTACGTGGAACCAATTCCATGTTATAGTTGGACAAAAAATAAAATGGTTGCAGGAAAAGAACATTAATTATCCAATCAATGCTATAAAATATCAGACTTTGTACGTCAAAATCTACTACGAAATGAATTCCACCTAGATAGATATGTTGAAGAATATGGGCATAAAATATTAAGAACTCAGCCACATCACTGCCAGTACAATGCGATCACAGTGCAAATGGTTTTATGACGAAAAATTTTTAACAACAAAGTCGTTACCGAAGATGTATTTCAGACTTGGTCAGAAGCTTTTAATAATGTTACCGATACTCAGTGGGACAATTATGTAAGACACACTAAAAACATTTGTTTTCGATTGGGAAACATACAAGCAATTAGATGTTTCTAATCTAATTGTGACAACTGTGACTAAATATGCGATACTCTTTTCGTCAGAGGACTTAAGGGTATTTCTATAATTTTACCACATTGAAATTTTACAGTATTAGCGAAGGACCACGACCTATCACCAAGCACTCGATTAGAAATTGTAAAACTCAACCCGATAATGTTCTTTAAACTTATGTAACTTACAATTAGTATATTTTGACTCTTACTAACTTGTAAACAAATATACTGAAATGCTATACAAATTTTTTTGCAAAAATATCACTTACTAGATAGGCTCATCGGAAAGAGAACATCCCTTAACAGTTAAAATACCTACGTCTTAAAACTACTAATCTATCCATTCATAATTAAGTACTTATTTATTGAAATTATTCATATTGTTACGATGGCTAACAATATTGTGTTTTATGTTAGACAGAGTGTTAGATAGTCGGCTGCCGCATTAGAAAGAGCGAGACGCCTGCTAAATTGAGTGGCGATAGTTTGTGCGAGCTTGTTTATCTGAGAGTCGAGCACGCGTCCTATGAATGAACCATCTCGCACAACTGTGATACCTTCGTTACAGCGTTGTCACATTGCAACATAAATGGTATACTTTCGGAAAATCACTTTCAGCTACAATAATATAGTTGCAACCAGAAAATGACAAACAGATAATAACTGTCATTAATGTAGCAAATGTATTTCCTTAATATAATTTTTAAAGCCTTTGTGCATTTAAGAGCCTTATGTTAGTTCTGAAATTAACCATAAACAATCCTTGTAACAACTCTCCCATAATTTGGCATACATACAGTGAATGCTTGCAATTTGATTTTTGTAAACAAAATTGGTCTAGTAGTTTTTCGTCGTTGTGTAATAAATACCTAAATACATATGATGGACTTTAACGGAGTAGAAGTAGATTTCGATGACATTTTATGATAAATGATAAATTTTAGAAATTATTAATAATGGTTTTCCAATATAAGCGTAAATCTCAGCAAACGAATTATTTTAACCGTGTTAAACCTACAAATATGGAATTGTTACGCCACTTATTTATCACATTTACAAAATGGCTCTGACTACGATCAAAGTTCCTCTAATAAAACACACTGTAACTATATATTTGTAGATTGAAACAAGATAAAGGACAGAAAAAGTGGAAAAGGAGCGATTGCTTATAAAATCAAAAAATAGTTCTACTTACTTTTTTAGTAAATTTCGCTGTTTTGATCTCGATAAAAGCTGCATTCACGGCTTTTGTATAAGACATTTGGTTATTAAAAGTAACGCGACCAGATCCAATTGGATATTTATACTTGTCCGTATCGATACCTAAAAGAAAATACGCTTATTAAAAAAAATCATTTTTCAAATCAACACATTCGATTAGGAAGACGTCGAATTATTAAAATGAAAAACGTACCGGCATAAACGACGCCCTCAAATAAATCGTTCATAATTTTTGCTAAACCTTCAGCGTTGAGCATTCCGTGCAGGGCTCCCACGAACACCGTCTTGCTTGGATCCAATTTCTGCGAAGTCGACTTGGTGTAGTTCGACTCGTTGATAATCCAAGGAATGACCTGCACCTAAAATCATGGAACATATTAATTTTAGTAACCGGCTCGAAAGACCATGAAGATACTTGAGGAATGTGTGTGCTTACCTCCTTGGACTTCATACGTTTTGAACTGATTGTGTAATACCAATTGCCACCGTCAGCGTAATCGTTTGTGCAGGATTGCAGTAACGCCTTCACGTTCTTTTCAGATTCGAAAATAACGTAAACGTATCCCTTAGGTTGCGAAGCGGCTTTATCTTTGCCGGGCCATTCCACACGGATCGGTCCGAATGGTTTAAAAGTTTGAATGAGCATCTGTTCGGTTATGTCCCACGGCACGCCGCCGAGAAAGACTTTGCTGGAGTAACCGATTGTTTTTACGATGGAACGTGGAGGCAGGACGCCGCTCCATGTGCAAGTTGCTTCGTACAGAGCTGAAAGAACATTTTTTAAATATTTTCTTTGGATAATTTTCAATTAATGAGAGAAAAACAGTCCAAATGGTTTAATTGGAAAAAACGTAAACTTTATCTAATATGAAGTGAATATTAAAATAGTAGTTTGTTCAACAAGAGTAGATATGATGGCCATATCGCACGAAGACGAAATTTAAGCACGACGCCGTAGGCGGAGTGCTCAATCATCTGAGTGTGATGTGGACAATCCACTCGAGTTGTACAGAGTATTTTTTCTACGATCCACTAACGAAAATTTACAAATAAAAAAATATTTTAGGTTATTAAGACAAAATAACTAATTTTAAAATAATTTATGAATTTTATTAATAAAAAAAAAGTTTAGTTCATTTTTCCCCATCCGAGAATCGAACTCTATTCTCCCGTGTGAAAGGCAAGAACTCTGTCCACAGGGCCACCTATTCTTTCATTCTTGTTGCTTTAATTCTCATAATTAAATTGACTTCATATAGTTTTATTTAAATTAACAAATTATTTATAATTATATGCGAAATAAAAACAGAAATGCTATTATTTATCGATTCTACACAAGAATAACCCATTTTAATGTATGTTTAATCTCAATAACTAAAAAATATACTGACAATTAGTTTGACTGACAGAATTGTCACTTATTTAAAATTTTAAAAATAATAGCAGTCGGTTGATCAAAATATGAACGGTGATTGTTGAATTTCATTTTTTGCATTATTCTCACTACCTATTATGGATATGAAATATATTCGTTCAGTTGAAGGCAATAGCATTTTGTAATCTGTGCGTAGATAAGCTAATATCCATGTGGGTGTAGAAAAAAAATATATATCGCCTGATTTGCATTCAACTGTCTGACATGTATAGGCGTACCGAATTATTTTCTGTTATAAAATAATTTTTCTAATTTTGACATATAAAGTGACATTATTTGTAATCGCAGGAAGTGTCACAATGATTACTATACGTAACCAGTTGCATATTGTTAAACATTATGAAACTGGTTACGAAAAATTCATTGTGTTACCAGTTGCGAAAAGAAAACAAACCTTTTATGGTTTAAAATCAATAATATACAGGGTGTCCCGAAATTAGACGGCCATATTTTAACAGCGTAATCTACATCCCAAAATAGGAGTAAAAGTTCATATAAACATAGGTCCGAAAACGTTTCTTTTCCGAGATACAGGGTGTTAAGAGTGAAGTCCTGATGACAAACTTAAATATTTTCTAAACGTTTAAAGATAACTAAGTAAAATTTGGTACAAATGCTTACCTTTTTACGCTCTATGTAATGGCTTAAACCCTAGTTTTTAATCATCTTCATAGGTGGGTAAATTAGGAGGGGCCTAGGGTAAAGTTTTTTTTTTGTTGACATTTTTTAACATTTTGACTATAAAATTTGGAAAACCAATGTTTTCTTTATAATAAAGCTACTATTGTTGCATCTCGCTAGAACGCACCATTTTCAAGAGAAAATCACTTGAAAATTTCATGATAAGTTGATGTTATCTCATTCGAAAGTGTAAACAATAATTAGTAGGCCTGTGGAATCAGAAATTTTATTTTTTTTTTAACTTTGGAAAACCGGTGACTTAAGAAATTTTAGAAAATATTTACAAAAATGTGCCATCATGACTTCACTTGTAACACCCTGTATCTCGAAAACGAAACGTTTTCGGACCTATGTTTACATGAACTTTTACTCCTATTTTAGGATGTAGATTACGCTGCTAAAATATGACCGTCTAATTTTGGGACACCCTGTATATTATTAAAAGTTTATATTAAAGAGGGACATATTTGGATTATCTTTAAAAATGCTAAGAACGAAAGTACGAAAGTAAATTGTTCTAGTATTTGTAGGCAAAATGTAAAACGTAATCTTAATTTTTTTCAAAGCGTCTTGTATTCGTGTAAACGCACCTTAATAAAGTTTCCGCTGCTAAGCAACAACAAAACGCAACTGAAATAAGAAGACACATGCAAACTGTAATTAAAAATGCAATACTCTTTTGTCGGAGGACTTTGAGTATTTTTATCACTTTATATCTCCTTGAGATGGAGTCTATATGCTATACTTATTATGACGAGTATATATGTACATACTTGTTATAGTACAAACGTAACTAAAAATGCGATACTATTTTGTCAGATGACTTGGGGTATTTCAATCACTGAAAGTAACTTTAATTTCACTCTTTCAGGGCCTCTAAAGTGTCATTGCTAATTAATATTTACCGTCCACAAATTACTGCCATTATTAATTCATATTTACCGTGCACAAATTCAAAATAATAAAAATAAATTATATTCTCTCTAAATACCACACAAACGACAATATTCCAAAATTTCCGCACGTACAACTGGTTCATACAACAAAACATTCTGAAATACAAAAAAAAACTTGAGAACTGATAAAAATGTCAAAGCGTCTTGTTTCATCATTCGGTTTGTTTTATTGTATACTAAAAATGGCGATTGATATTTATTTTGTTTTATTTTTTTAAATATTTAATGTTGCTAAACTAATTTTAAATGAAACCCTACAAATTCAGATAAAAGTACATTTAATTTTATTTAATACATATTAGAGCAAGATTACAAAGGTATACGATAATAAAGATTAGGAAATTGGAAAAGCGGGATACAAATATAATATCGCTTTTTACAGCTACATCTCGCAGAAAATGCAACAATTTAAAAATAATTACAATTATACACGGTTCTCCAGGAAAGTGATATATAACAAAGCTAAGTTATTTTATTTTTGAATTGTCCTCGCTTTTTTCATTATAACGATTCCAAATAGTATGTGAGTACATAGGGTATTCATACGCTATAACCATTTTATATGAAAATCGTATTGATGTCAAAGATCTGTATACTGAAAAAGAAACAATTGAAAATCATTTTTTTGCGATAAGTTTTTCTATGTTACTCGATATTTATGTCACCGGTGCACTATTTTTTCAATTCGAAACAAAAGTATCTTAATTATACTTTCTTTTGAGTTAAGCATTTCATACTTAAAGTTAATAATTTTGGGACATTTCTAAATTTAAATTACAAAAAATATAAATCAGAAAATACTTTAGTTTTAATTGGTTACTCCATAGTTAATAGGAAAAAAGACGACTGTCGGTGTTGATTAGTAAAAATTTAACCAGCTGTAATTTATTATCGACTGAATAGCAGGTCAAAATATTGAAAATAATTGACAGTAATTTGACAGAAAGTACAAATATAACAACAAATTTGTTTTAAAAATTGAACTAGTTACTTATTACAAAATAGAAATTAACCCAAATTAAATAAAAATCCGGATGCATGAGTGATAACTGACTGTAGTCCCTTCAGTAGTTTGTGAGAAGTATTCGCTCCGTGCGCGACAGCAGCGCCAATTTGTTTTGGTATTAAAGGAGTATTTCTGCCTATACTGACAAATACAATTTTTAATTGAATTCGTAAATAAAAAGTATATATGTTAGTTTTAATAAAAGTATATGGATTTATAAAACAATTAAAATATTAATTTATTATTATTATATATTTTTCACGCTTAAATTGAAGAAAATTATGTATAATCATTAAAAATCAATAATAAAATATAGGCAGGCAACAGTATTTACTGGAAAATGTATGAGAAGTTGCCTAAGTCTAATAAGTTGTCATTGAAGAAACCATTTATAATAGCGTGAAGTTAAAATGTATAAAAAGGATCGCTACTTATATTTTCATTTTTGTTCTAAAGAAAACATAGAATGAATGATTAAAACTGGTTTCCGATCAGTAAGTCACAAAATTGCATACCAGCTAAATATTATAATCAACGGCAGAAATCTTGAAATCTAGTCCTTGCTGAATGAACATTTAAGAATAAAGGGATATTAAAGAACATCGTAAAATGATAATTTATTGTTTATTTAAAAACTTTCTAGTTTCTGATGTCTACTATTTCCAGCATTACTGTTATTATCACAAAAATAAAGGTAATTTTTCTTCTTATTGTACACCTATCCATTTATTTCTTTGATTTAATTTCCACTTTGTTAGTGAAATTTGTTATATAAGTTTCACTGTTTTTTTTTGCTAGTATTTGTACAATTTTCAACACAGCAACTCCGGTTGCTTATTGTGTTGTTTTTACCTACTTTTTTGAAAAAAAGTAAAATGTATACGTGTATTTGATATGCCAAAATTACAAAATATCGCCCTAAAATGCACGAATTATCCGCAGCTAGCGCTAGTATCGCTTTTGCTTCCCTTTCCATGACTTCGCACGGAGCGAATAAGTTTACTTTGTCCGTTCGTCCGATGTCACGTTTTTTGTCCGCGAGATAAGTCAAAGACGAAAAATGATATCAACTTGAAAATTTTAGGAAAAATCAAGCTCTATAAGAAGACGAAATCTATTGATTTTGAAAAAATTCTGAATAAAAATGGGGGGGTTAAGAGGGGTTGAAATTAAAAAAAAATCGTAAATCAAAAATAAAAAGCGATATCAACATGAAATTTTAAAACAAATTAAATCAAAAACGAAAAGAGATCAATATGAAATTTTTAGTAAAAATCTAGCATTATAAGGTGATGAAGCCTATTTATTCCGAATTTTGAATAAAAATGGGGGTTAAGGGGGGTTCAAATATTTAAAAAATTCTAACTTAAAAACGAACAATAAAATTAACTTGAAATTTTTGGACAAAATCAAGCTCTATAAGGGGACAAAGCCTAAAGTCCTATATTTTCCTTCTGTATACAGATAGGAAAATAAAAATGGGAAAAAGATGTATTTGAGTTTTGACTCACCCTATACAGATTTGTTTTGAATTGAAAAAGTTGTGCGTTGACATAAATATTGACTAACATCGATAATATTTACAGCAAAAAAATGGTTTTCAATTATTTTTTTTGCAATATACAGGTCATTGAAATCAATACGATTTTCATTTAAAACTGGTCATAGCATGTAAAATACCCTATGTAATCCCATACCACAGTTTATAGCTAAAGAATCAGTTAGCTCACTCGGACCAATTGGATGTTCCAAAATAACATCCACTCCAGGGATACAAATTCAGAATGCGCAGAAGACTGCTGTTTGAATATAGACGGTTGTCATATATTGTATTAGGCATTCCAAACAAATCAACTGCCAGTGGGAAGATTTGATTTATCCAAGGGTTGCGACATACGATGTATTCTGTTTACAATACCACAGCTTAAAGTTTTAAGCTGTGACAATACGTAAAATCATCAAACACAATAAAAATAAGAAACAGCTCATACACTTTTTCATAAATTGGCAGGCTTGGTGACTATTATTTAGAATAAAAAAAGCGTTCAAGATGCAAGACTATCTCGCTACCCCCTTAGATATACCAGACCTTCTCACTGGCAGCTATTGTTTGACAGGTCGTTAGAATGTCTAATTGGTAATAGATCCCACTACAACTTACGACCGCCATTTGATAACGAAATGAAATATGCTCCAAAGACATGCAACAATATTGTACTTGGCAAATTGCACCTGTGTCAATCTCTATCCTGAGCAAAGTAGTTAAAAAAAATTATTTTATATTCAAAAAACCACATAACACATGACAGCGATAATTGTGATTTCCCTGAAAATTACAATCCTAATTCATTGTAAACCTAGCTTTTAAACCTGAATTATTAATATTTTTACCTACCTTTAAACCATGTGTATGTGTGAAAGGAAAAAGGATGGCATTGTATAAACCATTTGCAGAGAAAGTCAATAATAATTATACACCCTTGTTAGACAATTCTTATAAACCATAATCATAGTTTTTTTGTCGTTTCTACGGCAATCTGTAAAAATGAATCATAACAATAGGCATACAAATAAATTTTTAATTCAGCAAAAATTGATTCATATTTTTAATGATTTTTACCTACTAATCGTGTGTAGATGTTTCTGTGCGATGTTAAGAGAAAGAAAATGTTTCCCGTTAACGATATTTATCAAGATATATTTGAATATGTTATTATCTGGAAAACTTTAAGGGCAAACAAAATTAGCGCTGTCATGCCTTACGTGATTTTTTAATATAATTTTTTTTTTTAACCACTTTGCTCAGGATTGGGATTGGCACAGCCATTTGGTAAAGAACAATGTTTTTAAAAGCTTTTGGGGTATATTTCATTTCATTATCAGATGGCGGTAAAAATTTGCAATGGGCTCTTAGACTATTATGATTTGATTCTGTATGCGCCAGGGATACAAATCCGAGTTGCGCAATATATAAACTGGAACATTGAGATCAAAAGTGCCGACGCAGAGTGAGCGAACTGATTCTTTAGCTATAAACTGTGCCCATACTATGTGGTATTGTTATAATGGGAAAAGCAATGGCAATTAAAATATAAAATAAAATAAAATACATGATGTCCCACTTACAAAAAAGCTAACATTGATATGTATCACTTTCCTGGAGAACCCTGTATAATTGAAATTATTTTTACATTGTTGCCTTTTCTGATACACATCTCGCTGTGAAAACAGATTAAAAAGGTAATTGTTTTGGCTTTACAGACCGAGGCGTTACTGGTAGCCCACCCTGTGTAATATCAAGCTTGAGTTCACATTTTTTAAAGAAGTTTTACCACGTTTTAAGAGATTCATTGAAGAGGGTAAATTGGAGAATTCAAATACATTTTTCTGAGACAGGCCTAGTGATTTGGTTGAAAAATAAAAGTCACCGACCCTCAATTATTCGTTGAATCTCTTTTCTTAAATCAATTGAATGTTTCTATTTGTAAAATAATTAGGAACTCAAAATGAAAAAAAAAAAAAATAAATAAATAAACTTACATGCCGAAGAACGATGAAAACGAGCAGCTCTATCTAACTGAAGACTTTCAGGAATAAAACCTAACAGGGACGTACTGCTGTTCCATTTGTCCAAAATTTGCTGAAATTAATTAAATTGATAAACACTTAACACAAACAATTTTTTAAAAATATCTTACCTGCATGTTGTTGTGTGAACAGGCGGTTGGCAACAAAGAATTAAGTATTGCAGGACTTGCAGGTTGCTGTAGATACTTGAGAGTCTGAATCGCTTGTAAATGTTGTATATTTGTAATGTCCAAGTCGTTAGAGCCATTGCAAAATAAGTTTCTGGACAGATTTTCGTTCAAGTTCAATGAATTCTGAAAATTTCATAAAATTATTTAATTATTCAGAAAAAATAGTTCAATCATATCAAAGTATTCATCAGATTTAGAAATTAATGAATACGATGTATTTTATACACGTTACTTTCCTAGGCAAATGACATAAAGCAACTGGATTTAATTAAAGTACTTACGAAAAGTTCATTCAATGAAGCATCCGGACTTGAGATTCCACTTAAATCAGACTCAGGAGAATTACACCTTGAGTAGTTCAAATGTTCAAGGACGTTTGGACTGTTACTTCCACAGCTGTCACTGAAGTAAAATATGTTTGATTAAATTAGTAAATAGGGTTACATTCATTGTAATACTGTGACTACTGTATGCCGCGCCGGTCAGTATCTGAATAGTCATAGAACGACAGAAATCAAAAATGTGTGTTCTTTATTTATTTATTTATTTACGGATCAAAACCCATTTTACAGATGAGTATATAAAGATCCATAACACATGTTAAATGACTGACATTACAGCGAGTTTAAACTACTAAGTAAAAAAAAGAAATATAAATAAAAAGAAAATAAAAAATATATAACAAAATATAAACAAAATAAGAAAAAAAAGATAAAAAATATTCAACAATTACATATTAACATGTAAGCTTTTTATAGCTCTTATATAAGCCGAAAGTATCAATATTCTGATGTTTGTTAGCTAATCGTAAAATTCTGGATTTTGTCTCATTTTGTCCGTAGTTAGTGTGATGAAAAGGTATATGAAATAGTTCAACATTCCGCGTACGTCTTTCATTTACATTGAAAAGTAGGTTTTGTCAATAGTTCGAAATTGGATATAATACCATTTAAAATTTTATATAAAAAACATAAGTCGAATTCTATTCGCCTGTGCTCCAATGTTTGCATGTTAAATTGAGAAGAATATTTTCATAAATAATATTTATTCCGTTTATGCCCATTTTGAAAGCACAAATCCGCAAAAATTTTCATTGTACTATCTCAATGTGATTTATGTAAATAACATAATTGGGGGACCAAACAGAGCAGCAGTAATCTAAGTTAGACCTGACCAAAGTCGAGTACAGCAGTTTCAATGTATTAATTGAAAATTGTCCACTGTTCCTCTGAATAAATCCTAACATTTTAAATGTCTTAGAGGTTATTTGACTAATGTAAGTGTTAAAGGAAAGCGTACTGTCCATAATAACTCCCAAATCGCGAACATTGTCATTAGTTTGTAGCACACAATTATTAGTTTTGTATGAATAGTGAACTGGAGAGGTAATTCTAAAAAAGGTGAACTAATGACATTTTTTAACATTTAAGTACAACACATTTACATCACACCAACGGGACAATCTATTTAAATCCTCTTGTAGTAACAAAGCATATGTTTCATTGGAAACTGATCTAAATATTTTCACATCATCAGCAAACATGAGATATTTACTGTTAGAGATGACACTAGAAAGATCATTAATAAATAAATTGAATAACAACGGACCCAAATGAGATCCCTTCGGTACACCTGAAGATACTGCAATTGCCTCAGATTTGCAGTTGCCATATTTAACATTGAATCCTGTTACGCAAATAACTATCAATCCAATTTAATATAATATCACCAAACCCATATCTTCTTAGTTTAGCAATTAGTATGTCATGGTTGACTCTGTCAAAAGCTTTTAAAAAATCCGTATAAACAGAGTCACTTGACACCTCGATTCAAGGATTGTACGATGAAACAGTTATAATTCACTAAATTTATACAAAACCTATGTTGTTGGTTTGAAATCAGATGTTTACAATCGAATTTTAAATGCTCATTGATAAAATAATCTAACATTTTAGGAATTTCAGATAGTATACAAATTGCACGGTAGTTCTCGACTTTTTCTTTTGGTCTAGATTTGTAAATAAAAAACTATTCTTCCAATAATCCGGAAATTCAACACAAGAAAGAGATAAGTTAAAAAAAAACACAGAGGTTTTGTCAGAGTAAATACACATTGTTTTAAAAAGTAAGCAGGAATCTCATCAGGGCCAGGTGTAAGTTTCCGTGGTAAATTTATAACACGATTAACAATAACATTATCTTCAATTCGATAGTAGTTTACTTCAACAGAGCTATTAAAATTAAATACTGGAATTTGATTAATTGCAATGTCTGAGTATACCATAGAAAAAATGCAGAAAACAAATTTAACGATTTCTTGATTGTTGTTACGTATAAAGGGAATATCCATAATTAACGATTCTAGTCGCGACTAGAGGACAGTAGAAGCACTAAAATGTAAATCATAGGCATAATATATTTTAATTTAATACTGACAACTTAAAATATTATATCGGAGAACAGGCGAAGGAAAATTTAAAGATGCTCAGAAAGAAACGAAAGAAACCAAAGAATTACAAGAAAAACTAGCAATAATATGAACTGCTTACATTAAGAATGTAATTGGAAAAAAAAAGATCCCCGAAGACCAGCAGACCTAAAAGTATTGCAATCCCAGCATTTGGTTTGGAATCGGAAATGATGGAAGACGGTTTTTCCAACATTGCTCCGATGCTGACCCGGAGAAAAAATAAATTTGTAAAGCTAATTTTTTGATCTTCACTTGTTTTTTTGTCCGAATGTCCTGCTGTCGTCCTAAAAAATGATCAACCCTAGACCGTTTTTATGCTAGAAGAATTAAGTTTAAATTTTGACATACAAATTCATCAATGAATTGACAGACATTAAATAAAAAATAAATAAATACAAAGTTGGTACCAACCTTAAAGATGTACTTCTAAAAGATCTGGAAGGCATATAACAAGATGGCGGCGTACAAGGGCTTGATCCAGCACTGCCCAAATTTACATTTCGATTGTATTGAAAAGTCTTTGGGCTAGATATAACTGAAGCATAATTAATCGGGTTAGGTTGAAATTTCGCTTCATCCAAGTCTAACTGTAGAAAAAAAATCATATCTTAATCTATTTTACTTATATGGAAAACAATCAAAAAAATTTCACTGTATAGGATAAGCCTTGTATAATATTATAAAAAGCAACCCTATTAGCTACAAAAGACTAGTAAATTTACTTAAATGGTTGTATTTATGTCACTAGAGATGACCATATTTAACTGAAATGCGATTCTGGCAAAAGTCCTAATCGGTTTAGTAAATAAGGACAAAATTCTAAATAAGACACAATAAAATTTTAAAATAGGAAAATTCATTCCGAATACTTTGATTTATGTCTTTGACTTGGCAACAGTTATTAACAGAAGACATTCGAGAAAATCAATAAATGCCAAAAAAAAAAATATTTAAAAATGTTCTCAATATTTCCGTATTGTTTTTGAAATTTTAACAATTAAAAATAACTATTATATTGTTATATAAATTTAAAAAAAACGGGTACCTCGCTTACCTGAAAATTGGAAGGAGTATCCGGGGGTGACGGACAAGTACATACTGCATTAGAGTTATTATTTCCAAAACCCAGTAAACCCCGTGGAGAATTCAATCCCAGCAAATCCGATATAGACGACATACTTTCACCAGCTATTTGAGAAATTAAATTTTTAAATTAAAACTTCTTAAAACTGTTAAATGCTTAAAAAGTTAAGTCAAATTACTAATCACATTCGAGTTCTATTATTTCAATCAATATGATCTAATTTGATTGTTAAAATGCGAGTTATTTTTGACAGGTAAGTAAAAAGTAGTCGCCTACTAAGTTTTTATCTTTTAAATGATATTATTTATCCTTCTCTAAACATGTTTTCATGTTTTTTTGCATCGATATTGAACATTCTACAAAGTAATGTATACCGGATGTCCCATATTAAATTAAATTTCTGTGTATGTATGTATCTCTTTTGAATTTATGAATTTAGAATACAGAATAATAAAAAAAAACTAAATGTACCAAAACAATTTCTTCAAAATATATGAAAACAAGGCTTGTTATATAACCGTAATGCCAAATATTTTAATTTCATATTAACTTTCATAGATAGCAATATCTACAGGTTGTACCACTATATAGTAATAAATAACTAAAGTAAATGGTTATCATAACACAGAAACCAATTCATTACAATTTTTATATATATGGGATCAATACCGACAAAGGTAAACATAAATAAATAAATAAATAAATAAGCAGGTGCAGAGTGTTGATGCGAGTTTTAAACACATGTCGGTGATCAGGAAAAAAAGTTTTAAAGAGTCTAATAAATAATAATAATACTCTTCTTAATTTACTCCCTTACGAGTGAATTTCAACTCCTGAAGCCTTCTGAGATTGTGTGGGGGAAGGGACGGCTATTATTATTTCAATGACAAGTCTAAAGTGGATACATTATTAAATATAGAATGACAGGTTTATCTCTAAGCTACGGAAACGTAGAAGGTTCACAAAATTTATATTTTTATATTTTGTCGACTTAAACTCGGAAAAATGGATCATTCTGAATTAGAACTCGAAAAAATACATTATTCTGGCTTAGAACTTGGAAAATTTTATTATTCCGAATTAGAACTCGGTCAAATGACTCGACAAGCTGGAGTCATTCGACAGCTCAACGGTATTCAAAGGCAAGCATGCCTGAATACCACGGAAACCATGAGAACAACTCCAACAGCAGCTCTAGAAGTCATGCTAAACCTAACACCACTAAATATATTCATTTAAGGCGAAGCCAAGTCTGTCACATACTGACTGCACAAAGGTTCAAAACCCAAAAGCAATTTGAATTGACGTGACTACATAGAGCTATATAAAGAGTCGGAGAACTACCAAATAAATGGAATGCCTTCAGACGAAATGCTGCTAAAGTATAGCTTTCGAAAGCATGGACGGGAGGACCTCCTATTCACGCAGAATTCACCTGGTATACAGACGGCTCCAAAACCCATGAAGGTTCAAGAGTAGGTATATATAGTACTAAGCCAAAGACAAGAATCTCACTGAGCTTAGGTAAACATGCGACAGTATTCCAGGCATAAATAGCAGCGGTACATCACTGCGCAAAAGAGGCATTAAGACATACCGTAAAATAGGGTGAATCGCAACTTAATTAAAGGTGAATAGAAACAACTGAGAAAGAAACTTCAAGAAAATTTGGCCATGCCAATTCAGACAACAGACAGATAAGTCGGCAACATTACCGGTATTTAGCTAGACGCTAAATGCCTACTGATAGAGCCATAACCACATACAAATTTGAAAGAAATTTTCAAATTCAAATACCAGCCCGAGAATCCTGGAAACAGGGACCTCCCGTACAGGCTGAATTCGTCTGGTACACAGACGGTTCAAAAACCAAGGAAGGAGCCGGTGCTGGAATCTATGGACCTAAGTCGAAATCAAAGATTTCACTAAGCTTAGGAAAATATGCAACAGTGTTCCAGGCTGAGCTAATAGCCATACAACACTGTGCAAGAGAAATATTAAATCAGCAAGTATCAGGCAAAACTATTGCCATATACTCTGATAGCCAAGCAGCTCTAAAGGCAATTCTCTCACCAGAAATCAAATCACGACTGGTGAAAGACTGTCTAAAAGACCTGACAGAGCTAAGTAGTCAAAATAAGGTGACCTTAGCCTGGGTTCCAGGCCATGAGGGATATCAGGGCAACGAAAAGGCCGACGAATTAGCCCGAGAAGGCTCAGATAAGGCCATGACAGGCCCTGAACCCTTTTGTGGAGTCGCTAAGGCATTGTGCAAGGCATCCATTAAACAATGGATGCAAAAAGAGTGTCAGGAATGGTGGAACAACTATCCAAGACTGAGACAGGCCAAACAGTTCATCAAGGCACCATCGGCCAAGTTTACGAAAGACCTACTGGATCAAAAACGTCAAATCGTTAGGATAACAGTAGGCCTTCTTACTGGACACTGTTGCCTCAAAAGGCACATGAGTGTCATAAATCCAGCAGAAGAAGCAACTTTGTGCAGGTTCTGTGAAGAAGAAGAGGAAACATCATTCCACGTCCTGTGCCAATGTAAAGGCTTGGCTGGAATGAGGTTTCTAACATTGGGCGAAGAAAAGCCAATTGCATGCAACTACATGCGGGAGCCACTGTCAAAGCTACTAAGTCTAATAAAAAAGACCAGGCTAGACGACATACTCTAAAACAAACGGAGTCCCACAATAGATCTGAAAAGGTCGCGGTGGACAAAGACAAATAACGTCCAACTCCTAATCTAATCTAATCTAAAACCAGGTTTTCGACATTCGACCGGCGGTGATCTTTAATACAGTTGTCTGAAACACCCGCAATATTTTTAAACGGAGAAACTTTAGTTAGTGAGCTACTAAAAAAAACAGGCAAGATGCTTCAAATGTTTCTAAGTTCTCCTACAGCGATCTAAGTAGTGAATTTAGTTTCAAATTTGCAAATCGATTTTTCATTTTTTCGTATTGATAGTTTTTATATCTAATCTTACTTTTTTGTAAATATGCGGTGAATAGAAATAGCTGTTTCTACCCAGACAACACACCAACTCCCAAAGATATCCACAGAATATCTTTTGTAGATATCCAATATATCCACAGGATATTAGAAATATTCCGTGGATCTAATATGGACATCCAAATGTCCGTCTATATCCAGAATATAGAAGATATCCCTATGGATATCCAGCAAAATATCTAATGGGTATCTTCCAGACAATACAAGAAATCCCAGAGATATTCACAGAATATATTTTGTGGATATCCAATATAGATATCCAACCAAATGTCCGTCTATATCCCAGGATATTCAGCAAAATATTTTATGGGTATCTTCAGTAGAAGTTCATAAGTAACCAATGATTATTGAATAACGTCGAAAGAAAATAGCAGAGATAAATATTTTCAACACTCCAAAATATTTTCAACACTCCAAAATATTTTCAACACTCTGCCTTTGATTTTACCCATAAAGGAGAAAGTCATCCTTATTAGGACTCTTCAGCAATAAAATTCTCGACTCCAGTCTCTAACGGAGTCTGATAGTATACAAATTTCGATCGAACTCAATTACGGCGGGTTGAGCATGAGTAGATGCGAAAGTGGTATCGCCATCTATACTTAGTAAGCAAAATCAAAAATTATCCACGATGGTTTGCGTTCGCGCCTAGACTTTGATATATTTAGTGGATGTCCATGGGATATTGAATACACCTTAAAAAAAATTAATTTGAAATATCTGAACGGTACTATTAGCCACAATGGCGAGCACAATGGCGTAATATTTTAATAATTTGCTATATAATTACTATTATTTATGGACATTTGCAGGTCTATAAATTACATCTCATGGATATAAAATAGATATCCACCATGGACTGGGCATTCAGTGGATATTGGGATGTCCAGTAGATATCCAAAAGATTTGGTGTGTTGCCTGGGTATTCACCCCATTGTTTCTATTCACTCATTTTTTTTGTTTGTTCCAGGACCATGCCACGTATATATATATATATATATATATATATAAGCATGATCCTTGTTGCAAGTAAAAAACACAAAATACACTACTTAGTTTTGTATAGGCGATATAAAAAACCTAACATGAAAAATCAGGGTGGACAAACCATCCTAACAGATCAAGAAGAACAGCTGATAGTGAACCAACTAGTCACATGTTCTGAGTGGGGATACCCGATGGACCATTATGACCTGAGAGAGAAATCTTACCTTGATAGTAGAGGAAAAACTATAAAAAAAATTTAGAAACAACATGACTGAATACGAATTTGCATACCACTTCATGAAGCGCCATAAAGATTTATTGAGGACAAAAATTTGCCAACAGATTAAAAGATCCCGGGCATCTGTTTCAACGGATGATATTAATAAATATTTCGATCACTTACAAGAAGATATGAGAGATGTACCTCCAAGCAATATTTTTAATTTTGACGAGACGAATATCTCAGACGATTCAGGGCGTAAAAAAGTTATTTCTAAAAACGTGGATGCCGATATCCAGAAAGGGTTTGCAATTTTTCGAAAGCTAGCACCTCCATTATATTTGCTGCAAACGTAGAAGGCAAATTAATTCCTGTATAAGCCACGAAATTTGTATGAATCTTGGACAACTGGAGGTAGAAAAGGTGCCCGATATAATAGAAGTGCCAGTGTGGAAAATATAGCTATACCAGCATTGCAAAAGTTACCTGGGTAAAAGTATCTGATTGAAGACAACCTGTCTAGTCATTTTTCTGCAAATACAGTAAAATCTTGTTTGCAACATAATATTTATTTTTTTGCCAGCGAATTCGACGCACCTCGCACAACCGCTGACTGTTGCGATCTTCCGTCCTTTGAAGGGAGCATGGAGAAAGATTATCGAAAGATGGAAAACGAATGAAGTAAGAAAATCCTCCAGCATCCCTAAAGACAGATTCCACCACTTTCTTAAGGAGCTTTATCAGAGCATTGAAGAAAACAGGGAAATAACATATGGTTAGGCCTCCGAAAACGTGGAATATTTTCTCTCAATCGCGAGGAAGTCTTACAACAACTTCCCAGTTATGTGGACAATGAGGATCAAGAAGCGGAAG